TTTTGTGTGCCTTATTCGTCACCTTTTCAGAAAAGAAACCAGCTGGTGAAGAAGCTCAATGACTCTGATCATCAGTCAAGCACCTCCCCCCTCATGGAAGGCACCCCCACGATCAAGTCCAAGAAGAAACTCCTGCAGATCATAGATACGACGCTGCTGAAGTGCTACCTCCAGGTGAGTGGCAGTGCCCCAGACTGGTAGGGAAGCCATCTGGCATCTGGTGCTAATGAGTCAAAATCATCCTGGGCAGAGAAGTGGAACAATTGTCCTAGTGTTTGTCATGCTTCTGATGACCCAGGCATTTGGTAGATACAACAAGCTTTCTATCTGAGGCCCTAAAGAAGCTCGTTTTTTTTCAGCTCTAGCAAAGCCTTAAGTAAGGAAGAGGGTAGCTCATGAAGACATTTTTTCCCCTAAAAGTTAAAACTAGAGGGGTTAGTAAATGAAGAAAAAAGCATTGATTAAGTGCTTACTGTTTGAAAAACACTCTCCTTTAGGGTGCCTTGCTGCCTCAGTAAGGCTGGCTTATGGCCCCATGGGGGGCAGCTGGTGGGAATGGTTGGCCCCTTCTCCATAGCGATCATCCCCTTGAATGATGGCTTTGAGAGCTAGGATGGAAATAGAGCTAGTGGTCTGGAGGATGTTGCTGTTCCTGGGGCTTTTAAGTTTACCTGCTTGGCAGCAGCGGTTGGTCAGTGGTTGGTATCATTGGTGGTAAGGATGGCTGGCACCTTGTAAGCAAAGGTTGCTCCCCTGGGGGATGGCAGTGGAAGCTGGGCTGGAAGGAGTGCTGTGGTCTGGCAGGCAGTGCTGTCCCAAGGGCTGTTGGACTCACCTGCCTGTCAACAGCAGTTGGTCAGTGGTTAGTGTTGGTTGTGGCAAGAATGGTGGGTCCAGGGGCAGCTAGGTGGCGCAGTGGACAGAGCACCGGCCCTGAAGTCAGGAGGACCTGAGTTCAAATTCGGCCTCAGACCAAACACTTGACATGTACTAGCTGTGTGACCCTGGGCAAGTCACTTAACTCCAACTGCATAAAAAAAAAGAATGGTGGGTCCATTCTCCCCTCAGTAATGGCTTTTGGGGCCAGGCCAGAAGCAAGACTGGTGGTCTGGGGGTGGGGGCCACTAGTATACTCAGGGCTCATGGGCTTAGAGTCCTGGGCTTTTATCTCCATTATGGTCAGAAGGGGGTTGGTAGCAGTGACTTGCCTGGCACATACCACCTCCTTTCCCTTCCTCATGGCATCTTGCTGCTTCAGCTGTGTGGGCTTGCTTGCCTTGATAAGACAACATTAGGCCTTTGCCCCTAAGGCTGATATCCTCTGGATCTTAAGCTGTGTCACAAGCTTTTTTCATTTGTGCAGTACTCCAGTACAGGCCCAATGCTGCATGGGCCTAGGGAACAGGGAGGGAGTGGGAAAGATCCTCAGGGAGAAAATCTGATTCTATGTTGCACTCCTTCTGTAGACCAACATGGCCCTGGTGGCTCCATTGCTGCGTCTGGAGAACAATCATTGCCACATTGAAGAAAGTGAGCACGTGTTGAAGAAGGCTCATAAGTACAGTGAGCTGATCATCCTTTACGAGAAGAAGGGGCTTCATGAGAAAGGTGATGCCAACAGATTCTCAGTATTTGTCTGCCAGGGCCTCTTGGGGACTGTAGGCTGGATGGTGTGGGTGCGATAAGTAGCCTACTCTCTGAGGAGTGGGACTGGCTCATAACAGCATTTTGGGCGTTTCTCACAAGCTCTGCAGGTACTGGTGGACCAGTCTAAGAAAGCTAATTCCCCCCTGAAAGGCCATGAGAGGACAGTGCAGTATCTTCAGCATCTGGGTAAGCATCCCCTTTGGGGCAGCAAGATTCAAGAGAGGAACAAGGGGTCATCTTGTTGAAAGGTACCTTATTTTAGTTGGTGTCTGACTCTTGGCAGTCTTGTTTCTCTCCTCTGGGAGCACTTGACTTGTGGCCTCTGGCAGGACAGTGCTGGTGTTTGCTCCCTTGTGGGACTTGCAGCTGGTACACAAGGTGTATGCAGGGAGCTGGTATTAGGGCCACTTTATCTTTTTTGCTTTCAGAACAAGGCACAACTAGCATTTTGGCACATCTGGGCTGTGATACCGCAACTTCTTATGAAACTTTCTGTTTCTTATTCTAGGCACAGAGAATTTGCATTTGGTGTTCTCCTACTCTATCTGGGTGCTGAGAGACTTCCCAGAAGATGGGCTGAAAGTAAGTATCCTTAATTCCATCCAATTTTATCTGGACTCTCTTGTCATGTCCTATTCCTATAACAGAACTGTCACCATCATCTATGCTTAATTACGTTTTGTATTTTGTAGGTGCTTGTATGTATGCACTTATATGTATACTGGCAAGAGAATGTAAGCTCCTTGAGGTCAGGGACTGTTTTTGTCCCTGCATCCACAGCACAAGGCACAGTGCTTGACATATAATCAGCACTTAGTAAATGCTTGTTGGTTAGTTGGTTGGTTGATTGACATGGGAGTCATAAAAGGGTCATGGTCTTCTGTTAAACATTGGGTGAGGGGAAAAGTTGTGACCCTCCTTCATAAAGCTTACTCATATTCCTTGGGGTTATCTCTGGCAGAAAGCTGTGTTCTTTGCTTGTTTGCTTTGTGGGAAGTCCTTGAACTATAAATTGAGAAAGATGGTTATCAGAAGTGTTTATTTTTTTTACTATTTAACTTAGGCTTTGCATGGATTAGGTTACAATTCTCAAATTATGCTTATTTTTTATAATTAATTTTTTGTAGTATTTTATTTTTTTCTAATTACATGTAAAGATAGTTTTCAACATTCACTTTTATAAGATTTTGAGTTTCCAATTTTTTTCTCCCTCCCTTCCCTCCCCTCTCCCAAAGGAGGCATGCAATCTGATATAGGCTGTACATGTTCAATCCTATTAGACTTATTTCCACATTAGTTATGTTGTGAAGAAAGAATCAGAACAAAAGGGAAAAACCATGAGAACTGTATTTCTCTCCTCCCCTGTTTATTCTATTCTCTCTCTCCTTTCACCTTGTCCCTCCTCAAAAGTGTTTTGCTTCTGACTACTCTCTCCCCCAATCTGCTCTCTTCTATCATTCCTCTCCCACCCTACCCCACCCCCTCTTCTCTTAATCCCCTTCCCCTCCTACTTTCCTGTAGGGTAAGATAGATTTCTATACCCAACTGTGTGTGTATGTTATTCCTTCTTTGAGCCAATTCTGATGAGAGTTAAGTTGACTCACTCCCCCTCACCTCTTCCCTCTTCCCCTCCACTGTAAGAACTTTTTCTTGCCTCTTTTATGTGAGGTTATTTACCCCATGCTACCTGTCCCTTTCTCTTTCTCCCAATACATTTTTCTCTCAATCCTTAATTTTATTTTTTAGATATCATCCCTTCACGGGGCACATCTGTGCCCTCTGTCTGTATATACTCCTTCTAACTACCCTAATACTCTGGTCTTTTCATCAAGAATGCTTGAAAGTCCTTTATCTCATTGAATGTCCGTTTTATTTCTCCTGAAGGATTATACTCAGTTTTGCTGGGTTGGTGATTCTTGGTTGTAATCCTAGCTCTTTTGCCCTCCAGAATATCATATTCCAAGCCCTCCGATCCTTTAATGTAGAAGCTGCTAAATCTTGTGTTATCCTGACTGTAGCTCCACCATACTTGAATTGTTTCTTTCTGATTGCTTGCGGTATTTTCTCCTTGACCTGGGAATTCTGGAATTTGGCTATAATATTCCTGGCAGTTTTCATTTTGAGATCTCTTTCAGGAGGTGATTGGTGGATTATTTCCTTTTCTATTTTACCCTCTGGTTCTAGAATCTCAGGGCAGTTTTCCTTGATAATTCTTGAAAGATGATGTATAGGCTTTTTTTTTTTAATCATGGCTTTTAGGTAGTCCAATAATTTTAAAATTATCTCTCCTGGATCTATTTTCTAGTCAGTTGTTTTTCCAGTGAGATATTTCACATTGTCTTCTATTCTTTCATTCTTTTATTGTTTCTTGATTTCTCATAAAGTCATTAGCTTCCATTTGCTCCATTCTAATTTTTAAGGAATTGTTTTCTTCAGTGGGCTTTTGGACCTCCTTTTCCATTTGGCCAGTTCTGCTTTGTAAGTCATTCTCTTCATTGGCTTTTTGGACCTCTTTTACCATTTAGCTTAGTCTGTTTTTTAAGTGTTATTTTCTTCACTATTTTTTTGTGTCTCCTTTATCAAGTTGTTGACTTGTTTTTCATGACTTTCTTGTATCACTTTCATTTCTCTTCCCAGTTTTTCCTCTACCTCTCTTAACTTGATTTTCAAAATCCTTTTTGAGCTCTTCCATGGCCTGAGATCAATTCATATTTTTCTTGGAGGCTTTGGATGTAGGAGCTTTGACTGTGTTATCTTCTTATGAGTGTGTTTTGATCTTTCTTGTCACCATAATAACTTTCTGTAGTCAGAGTTTTTTTTCATTGTTTGCTCATTTTGCCAGCTTATTACTTGACTTTTAACTGTTTGTTAAAGTAGGGCTCTGCTTCCAGAGTGGAGGGTGCACTGTCCCAAGGTTCAGGGATTTTGTGCAGCTGTTTTCAGAGATACTTCTATGGACCTGTAAGTTTTCAATTCTTCCAAGGTGGTATGATTTAAGAAGAGCTGTTTATTCTTCTCATGGTCTGTGATTGACCATAAGCACTTTTTTCTGTCCTGAAACTGTGAGGGGAGTCCCCACTCCTACCCCCTCCCCCATACTCTCCTCACTTCTGCCTGCAAGTTCTGCTATGCTAGTATTCCTCCTTGCCTTGGGACTGCCACCCAGGACCGTGACCTGGATCCAAGGATGGACAAAGCAACAGAATCCTGCCTCAGTGCTAGCAAAAAGACCCCTGTAATCTCCTTCTGACCAGTTGTTTGACCCCCAGTCTGTGGGCTGAGAGCTCCAGAAGCAGCCGCTGCTGCTGCCATTGCAGATTCAGTCATTCCTAAGGCCTGCTCTGTTTGCTGAGGCCAAGGTTGTGCTGGTGTGGCCTGTGCTGATGCCACCTGTGCTGGACTGTGCTCTACTCTCTCCCAGGTGCACCCAACCTTTCTTGCTGACCTTCTAAATTGTCTTTGGTGTCTGCGGGCTAAGAGGTCTGGAAACTGCTGCTGCCAGTAACTCAGTTCCCCTGAGGCCTGCTCCAGGTTTGCTGGGGCCAGGTCTGCGCTGGTGCAGCCTGAGCTGGACTGTGCTCTTCTCTCACCCTGGTGCAACAGACCTTTCCTGCTGACCTTCTAAGTTGTCTTAGGCTGGAAATTTGTTTCACTCCATCTTTTTGTGGATTCTCCTGCTCTCGAATTTGTTTAGAGTCATTTTTTAAAGGTATTTGGAGGAGTTTGGGGGAGAGCTCAGGTGAGTTCCTGCCTTTACTCCACCATCTTGGCTCTACCCCTCAAATTATGCTTATTAACTGGCCTGTATACATTGAAGCCTTTTACTGTACCCATCTGTGGAGTCAGTGAGCTGACTTGGATAATGGTGGAGTTAATTTTAAATTTCTATATTCCAGTGACAGATTATTCTTTCGGGACTCCATTTGGTATTGTGGTAGGTCATTGGGGGTTTAAGTCATTGTATAGAGCAGTTAAGGACAACAGCACACATGGTGTAGTGGAAAAAGATCATCAGGATTGATTGGGAGTCAAGATTTGGAGTTCAGTTCCTGGTTCTGTTATACCAACTGTGTGACATTGGGTAACTCTTTGGGTCTCAATTTTCTCTGTAAAAATGAGGGGGTTGAGGTTGATGACTTCTAAGCTGGCAGGTAGGCTCTCCTCCTACCTGCATCTAACATTCTGTGATTCCTTCACCTGCCTATGTGCTTGGCATCTTCCTGAGCTCTCAGGTTGGGGTGTCCAGCTGTGGTTCTGCTGATGGAAACATATTTTGTTCTGACAGATATTTACTGAAGATCTCCCTGAGGTGGAGGCTCTACCACGGGACCGTGTGCTGAACTTCTTAATAGAAAACTTTAAGGGCCTAGCTATTCCCTATTTGGTAAGATGCTGTTTTTTTCTAGTCCATTTAATAAAATTCACCACTAAGCCATCCTGGAGCATAGGTGTTCAGGTCATGGAGCATGTGAGATGGGCATCTGTGCCCTTTAAGAATGGGTAGACACCTTCTGATAGAGAAGTGATGGACTTAGAGTGAAGACTGAGGCATATTGTTTTTGGACATGGTCAGTGAGGGAATTTGTTTTGCTTAATGGTGCATGTTTATAATAGGGGCTTTGTTTTTCTTGCTTTATCAGTGGTTGGAGTGAATTGTTGGAAGGGTATGGGGGAGAGAAGGTAGATCTTTGTGAAAATAAAATTGAATTTAAAAAAAGAATGTGTAGAATTGTAAGATGAGAGGTTTACTTCAGTATCCTTTGAAAGAGACACTCTGGCAAACCATATTTGGTGCCCAGAGTAGATATTTTGGCACATCATACATTTTATGACACTTCATACATTTATGGCAAGCTGTGATTGGTGAAAGAGAAAGACTTAATGGAAATTCCAGTGCTACATTGGTCCAACTTGATAGATTTTAAATGTCTAAAAGAAAATACCTTGGACAGGGTGGGATTGTTGGGATTAACTAGGTGAATTCATGGGTTAAAATTTAAAAAGACTGGTAATCAGCCAATTCATTCCTGAAACTCAAAAGAATTAACAGTGAAAGTTATAAAGAACTGCTACATAGAGTTGTAGCTTGATTAAGCTTGACAAGGGGTAAGACTTTGCAGAGGTGTCTGAGTGAAATTATCTGTGTAAGGGCAGATAGGTGGCATAGCAGGTAGAGTGCCAGACTTGGAGTCAGGAAGATTCATCTTCTTGAGTTCAAATTTGGCCTCAGACACTTACTAGCTGTGTGACCCTGGGAAAGTCACTTAATCCTGTTTGTCTCAGTTTTCTCATCTGTAAAATGAGCTGGAGAAGGAAATGGCAAACCAGTATCTTTGCCAAGAAAACCCCCAATGAGGTCACGAAAAGTTGGACACAACTGAAATAGAAAATACAGGCCTAACCTGTTTTTCATAGGAACATATCATCCATACCTGGGAAGAGACGGGTTCTGAGTTCCACAACTGCCTTATCCAGCTGTACTGTGAGAAGGTCCAAGGCCTGATGAAGGAATACCTCAGCTCCTTCCCTACAGGTACAGATGACCTTAAAAACCTAGCTTTCTCATGGGCTTGGAGAGAGCATAGAACTTGTCAATATGGAGCATGGGGTAGTGGCACGTAACACAAAACCTTACACTTGAACTTTGTAAAAGCAAATCATTGTGTGGGAAGAAAACTTTTGGAGGAGGCAGTGCGCCTGAGTTAACTAGTGCTGGAAGTCAGAGTAGGAACTGCAAGGGGGCCTACATAAATTACTCCCTATCTCTGAGAGCCACCCCCAAGGAGAGGATGAAGTCCTAGAGCCAGCCTACAGATAAATGCAGTGTTGGGAAGAAACCAGTCTTGTTGCCAGGCCTTTCACCTGGTAAGCAAGACATGCTGCTGTCTTGTATTTCTGTGGTATGTACAGACTGCTGTTTAAGTAGTTCATTCTGAGTGTGATGTTGTTCTTTTTATTCCTCGGGATTATGACGTTACCTCTTGTGGACTTTCTCTTGCACTGAGCCTGGTTTTCCCATAGATAAAACTCCAGTCCCTGCTGGTGATGAAGAGGGCGAGCTGGGAGAATACCGGCGGAAGCTCCTCATGTTCCTGGAGATCTCTAACTGCTATGATCCAAGTCAGCTCATCTGTGACTTCCCTTTTGATGGTGAGTGTCTAACTGGAGGCCACAACCTACTGCAGTTTTCAGGAAGGCCTTAGGGTTTAGAGATCACTTTTATTTCTGTTGTTCTGTGTTGATCCTCATAACAACCCTTTGAGGAAGCTTTTCTTATGTAATCAGTATTGGTAACTAAGTATTTAAATAGTAATTAAGTAGTAGTATCATCCAGTTCATTTAGTCAGCAAATATGTATTGAAACCTATTTCCTTTAGCTACCATTCTACCATACCACCCTTCCTCTCTCTTCTTTCTAACATGAGCTCCCTTTTCTTTTCAGTTCTTTGCCTCAGATTCCCTTAACACTATCCTTTGTTCTCTCTCCCTTTGCCATAGGGTATTGGGAAAAAAAGAAAAAAGGGGTCCTTCTTGCCACGGCAAACCCTTTTAGAATACTTGTGCCCTTTGATCCTGTTCCCCCTGTCTGCTCTGGGAGTTTATCTCTCTGTGCCCTCTTTTTTTCTAATCTTCCATCCCTCTTTATCCACTGGCTCTTTCTCTGCTGCCTACAAATATGCCCAGATTACCACCCCCCATTCTTAAAAACAATGTGACTGTTCCTTCTCCTCGAACTGTAATTCTTTATCTCTCTTTCATTTCATGGTCAGATTTCTAGAAAAAGCCATTTACACCGATTACCTCCATTTCCTCACCTCATACTAACTTCTCAGATGCTAAACTGAAACTGTTCTCACCAAGGTTACCACCAGTCTCTTAATTACTAAATCCAATCTTCAGTCCTGATCCTTGACCTCTATGCAGCTTCAGACATGATCACTCCCTCTTCCCAGACATGGTCTTCGTTGCCTTTTGTGATACCGTTCTCCTCCGGTTCTCCTCTTACCTGTCTGAATACTGTCCTTTGCTGGGCCGTCTTTTATGTCCTGCATCACCAGCTGTTGGCAGGACACTGTGCTTCAGTTTCCAATAGGCATCTCAGACTCTGCTGGTCTAAAACATGCTCTTTCCTCCCCAGACCTCCCCTATTCATAATTTGCCTGAGGTTAGTATGAACACCACCATTATTCTCAGTCACTGAGGTTACAACCTTGGAGTCTTCACTCTCTGTCACCCCCAGTGTTCAGTCAGTTTCCAAGTTTTGTCAATTCTACCTCTACAAAATCTGCTGCATCCATCCCCATTTTTTTCCCCCTAATGCACATGGTCCTCACTCTTTTTCAGGCCATTCTCCCCTTTCACTTAGATTCATATAATGGCCTCCACACTGGACTTCCTGCTTCCCTTCTGTATTCCTCGAAACCCTGCTCCACATTGAGATCTCTAAAGGATAGATATTACCTTATCACTGCCCTGCTTAGTGGGCAGCTAGGTGGCACAGTGGAAAGAATGCTGGGTCTGGAGTCAGAAAAACCTGAGTTCGAATCCAGCCACAGACGCTTACTAGCTGTGTGACCCTGGGCAAATCATCTAACTCTGTTTGCCTCGGTTTGCTCATCTGTCAAGTGAGCTGGAGAAAGAAATGGCAAATCACTCTAGTTTCTTTTCCGAGAAAACCCCAAATGGGGTCATGATGAGTCAGACACGACTGAACAACCACCACTACCACCACCCTGCTCAGTAAGCTCCAAGGACTCTGTTACCTTCCAGGACAAAATACAAACTCCTTTGCTTTGCATCTAAAGCCCTTCACAGTTTGTCTCTACCCTGACTTTTTGAGCCAATGTCCTCCAGCTGTTCCTCACATACTCTCTGTTCCATTCATGGCTGCCCTACTTGCTGTTACCTGTATGTGACATTCTGCCTCCCACCTCCACATCTTTGACCAGTGAGAGAGGAGAATACTTTCCTTTCTCACCTCTGTTCCCTGGAATCATACTCTCACCTCCTTTCTAGGCTCATCTCAGGTGCCACCTCCTGCATGAGGCTTTTTCCATCTGTCCTATTGTTAATACCCTTCCCCACTCTGGGCCTCTCCCCGCCCCCAAATTACTTTGTTTTTATTTTGTACCTAAAATGTAAATGCCTCAAAGGCAGGGAACATTTTGTTTTGTCTTTGTACCCCCAATATTTGCCACATAGTAGTCTCTTAGTAAATGCTTGTTGAATTAAGTTGAAATGAAACTCACACCAGCTTGGTGAACAAAACATGCAGTCAGTCCATTTGTTTGGGTATCTGTGCTCTCATTTGTTCCCTATGGAGTAACCACATTGTGGCTAAGACTGTTCCCTTCTCTCTCTGGGTGTGTGCTCACACATTTATCACCAGCCAAGTTTAAACTTGTTTCATTGCATGTGTTTGTGGCCACGCTTATTCTTTTCTAATTCAATAGAACCATAAGCTCAGTGATTGACATGATTTCCTGGAAAAAATTGTGAATTGTCTTTATTAGGGTATAGGTTAGTCCTGTGATTGCCCATATTTTGAGTGTTTCTAGTTATTAACTCCTTGGGGAGAAATCTTTAATAGTAGAAATATTATCTCTTCTCTTATTCTAGTCCCATGCTCTGCCATTCCTCTTGCAGTTTAGTTCCTTTGAGCTAACTTGCAGTAGGGGTTAATTTTTTTTTATAACTTGTTTATTTTTAGTTTTCAGCATTCATTTCCATGAGCTTTTGAGTTTTAAATTTTCTCCTCCTCCCACTTATTCCACCCCCCCCAGTCTGATATAGGCTCTACATATACATTCATGTTAAGTGTATTTTCCCATTAGTCATGATGTAAAGAACAATTAAAACTAATGGGAGGAACCACAAGAAAGAAGAAACAAAACAAAACAGAAGAAAAAAAAGGAGCAAAGAGTATGCTTCGATCTGCATTCAAACTCCATAGTTCTTTCTCTGGATGTGGATAGCATTTTCCATTATGAGACTTTTGGAGATGTCTTAGATCCTTGCATTGCTGAGAAGAGCTAAGTCTATCAAAGTTAGTCATTGCACAATGTGGCTGTTACTGTGTACAGCGTTCTCCTGTTTCTGCTCACTTCACTCAGCATCAGTCCATACAAGTCTTTCCTGGTTTTTCTGAAGTCTGCCTGCTCATCATTTCTTATAGCACAATAGTATTCCTTTGCATTCATATGCCATAACTTGTTCAGCCTATTCTCCAATTGATGGGCATCCCTTCAATTTCTAATTCTTTGCCACTACAGAAAGAGCTTCTATAAATATTTTTGTACGTGTAGGTCCTTTTCTCATTTGTATGATCTCTTTGAGATACAGACCTAGAAGTGCTATTGCTGGGTCAGAGGGTATGCACATTTTTATAGCCCTGTGGGCATAGTTCCAAATTGCTCTCCAAAATGATTGGATCAGTTTACAACTCCACCAACAATGCATTAGTATTCTAATTTTCCCACATCTTCTCCAACATTTATCATTTTCCTGTTTTGTCATATTAGCCAATCTAATAGATGTGATGTGGTACCTCAGAGTTATTTTGATTTGCATTTCTCTAATCAATAGTGATTTAGACTATTTTTTCATATGACTATAGATAGCTTTAGTTTCTTCCTCTGAAAACTGCCTGTTCATATCCTTTGACCATTTATCAATTGGAGAATGACTTGTATTCTTATAAATTTGACTCAGTTCTTTATGTATTTTTGAGGTGAGGCCTTTATCAGAGACACTGGCTGTAAAAATTATTTTCTGTTTTTCTGCTTCCCTCCTAATCTTGGATGCACTGGCTTTATTTGTGCAAAAACTTTTCAATTTCATGTAATCAAAATTATCCATTTTGCATTTCATAATGTTCTCTGTCTCTTGTTTGGTCATACATTCTTCCCTTCTCCGAAGATCTGAAAGGTAAACCATTCCTTGCTCTTCTAGTTTGCATATAGTATCAGTCTTTATATCTAAATCATGTACCCATTTTGACTTTATCGTGGTATAGGGTATAAGATGTTGGTCTATGCCCAGTTTCTGCCATGTCTTTTTCTAGTTTTCCCAGCAGTTTTTGCTAAATCATGATTTTTTTAACCCAGAAGCTAGGGTCTTTGGATTTATTAAATAGTAGAATACTATAGTTATTGACTATTATGTCTTGCATATCTAACCTATTCCACTGATCCACCACTCCATTTCTTAGTACCAAGTAGTTTTAATGATTGCTGCTTTATAAGATTTAAGATCTTTATTTAAGATCTGGGTACAGATAGGCTACTTTCCTTTGCATTTCTTTTCATTAATTCCCTTGATATTCTGGACTTTTTGTTCTTCCAGATGAATTTTGTTATTTTTTCTAGCTCTATAAAATAATTTTTTGGTAGTTTGGTTGATATGGCATGGGGTTAAATTTTTTAAAAATTTTCTTGTAGGTCTTCTAGAGGAAAGAGCTCTCCTTTTGGGGCGAATGGGGAAACATGAACAAGCCCTCTTCATTTATGTCCACATTCTGAAGGATACAAAGATGGCTGAAGAGTAAGTGACTTCTCTGATCCTAATCCTACTTTCTGTGAATTTCTAGATTTGGGTGTATGTTATGGTTAGAATCAGAAGAGACCAAAAGGATACCTGGAAGCATTCTATCACAGGAACGCCAACTGCCTTCATCGACTACCCAGCAGAGTGAAAATTGTTTGCTGTGTTGGCTGTCAATTCTAATAAGATCTCTAATAGATCATAAAGCTGTTACATGAATGGAAATTACCTTAGTCCATTAAACTTTGTCTGGCCTTATCCCATTTCTGACTCACCATGTTTCACTTCCAGGTACTGCCATAAACACTATGACCGAAACAAAGATGGCAACAAAGATGTGAGTAGTAACCCCAATCCTAGCTGTGTTGTAATTATTTGATGTGGTCATATGTGTCTGACTGCTCACAACCTACCCCACCCTCTTCAAGGGGTTGTTGTAGGTTACTCTGATTGGAGTGAATTGCTAAGATACTGTGGGTCAGTGTGTTTGTGTGATTTTGATACCTGTGATTGATCAGTAAGTGGATCAAACATTATAACCAAGAATGGTTAAAAATGAGTCACTTGTCTGCCACCATTTTTCTTTATATCCCCAGCGATTAGCAGTGTTTGGTACATAGTAGGTGCTTAATAAATGTTTGTTGACTTGATTTATCCTACTTCCTGTGATGCTCTAGATTTAGGTATATGCTTTTTTTAAGAATCAGGATCATAGAGGCGGCTAAGTGGCACAGTGGATAGAGCACGGGCCCTGGATTCAGGAGGACCTGATTTCAAATCCGGCCTCAGACACGAAACACTTACTAGCTGTGTGACCCTGGGCACGTCACTTAACTGCCATTGCCCAACCAAAAAAAAACCAAAACCAACCAAAAAAGAATCAGGGTCCTAAAATTTTAGAGCTGAAGATAATCTTTAGAGATCATCTAATCTAATCCTTCTTCATTGTATTGGTGAAGAAAGGAGAGCCAAAGAGGTTAAATGGCATATGGCAAAGGTCATCCAGTTACTGGAGCAAAATAAGAGCCTGGGCCTCCTAACTCCTGGGCGGTTGCTCTTTTCAGCTTTTCATTTTGGTACAGTGATGTTCTACAATTCAGTTTTAGAATTGGTACCACTCCATTGTACTGAGTCGCCATTGAGGCCTGGCTGTCACCTATCAAGGCCTTGGCATAGACTGGGACCTCAGCTTTCAAACCACAGCATAAAGGAAAAACCTTTACTGAGTTACACTTAGTTTTTCCTCCTTTTTAAATTTTTATTGCCGACTTAATTTCATATACATTTTAAAAAACATTTGTATTTGAAGTTGTGAGTTCCAAATTCTATCTCTCCTTCCTCTCTCCCTTTCCTGAGGTGGTAAACGGTCAGATATAGGTTATACATGTGCAATTATGTAAAACTTTTCCGTATTAGTCATTTTGTCATGTACATTTTAAAGAGATAAAAATTAATGACTTTTAACACACTAGCTGTGTGACCCTTGGCAAGAAATCCCTTAAACTCTCTTGTGCCTTAGTTTCTTCATCTTTAAGGTTAGGCAGTTGGGTTCCATGACTTCTAAGGTCCCTCTCAACTTTAACTCTATGATCCTGTGATTCCCGTGTGCTAGATGACAGCTGCTGCCTCTCGACTTCCCTCAGTATAAAACTGAGCTCTTCACTATCCCTCCGTTTCAGCTGGTGTTTTGGGATTCTCTGAAGGTTACTAGTACTAAGTATCAATCGAGTGGTATATTTTGACTGGATTTATGTGAAACAGGTGTATCTGTCCCTGCTTCGGATGTATCTGTCCCCACCTAGTGTTCACTGCCTGGGGCCAATCAAGATGGAGCTGCTGGAGCCCCAAGCTAATCTCCAGGCTGCTCTGCAGGTTTTGGAATTACACCACAGCAAGCTGGACACCACCAAGGTCAGGATCACTCTCGCTCTCTCTGTCTCTGTCTCTCTCTCTCCCCCTCATCAGTTTACCTTCTTTGAATTGAGGGGAAGGAATGCATAGCATTAGGGCTGGATGGAGAAACAAGTTCATCTATTTGAAAAGGTTTCTGCATCCTTCACTCTTCTGCACGGCTCACCATCCCTCGTTTGTGTTCCTCTGCCTTCAGGCCATCAACCTTCTTCCTGCCAACACTCAGATTAATGAGATACGCATCTTTCTGGAAAAAGTCCTGGAGGAAAACGCTCAAAAGAAACGTTTTAATCAAGTCCTCAAAAACCTTCTTCAGGCGGAGTTCCTGAGGGTACGGAACACCAGAGCTCTTCTTCATTCTATGCCTGAGTCTGTGTCCTGATCTCTTTCTGTGAACTGACATCAGAGAGCCTTCAGCCTTGTGCTTTACACACAGGTCACATCCAGAGATGAGTTTGACCTTTAGTTCCCAGCTCTCTTAGTGAAAGAAATTGGTGAAAACCGAGGTGGGGAAAGGGAGGGAGCAGGGATGCCGTAAACGTACCTTTCTGCCTTCCTTTCTTGTGGGGATAGCTGCATGGGGTTCAAATGCAGTTGGGTTTTGGTCGTGTCTCTCCAGGTCCAAGAGGAGCGCATTTTCCACCAGCAAGTGAAGTGTATCATCACAGAGGAGAAGTTGTGCATGGTGTGTAAGAAGAAGATAGGGAACAGGTAAGCCTCCCAGACAGGCCTGGCCTGGCCTCTGCCTCTTCAGGTTCTCCTCTAACAAGCCGCAGCCTTGCTCCACACCCAGACCCAGGACTGGGTGGGTACCTGGGAGGCATTGTCTCAGGGAAGACAGCAAGCAGGAACGAGCATTGAAATGCTCCCATGCCCAGACTCTTGGTTCTGAAGTGACTTGATCAGGGATGAAGCGATACAGGGACTGGATTTTTAAAAATCTTCCTAGATTTTCTTATGTATTTCATCCCTCATCCAAAGTGAAGGCCGACTGAAACTGATTGTTTTTTTTTTAGACTTGGCCAGTGCAGGAATTTATTTTGCTTAACTATATATACGTGTTTGTAACAGGTTTTGTTTTTCTTGCTTTCTCAACTTGGGAGAATAGAGAGTGGAGGGAAGTGGGAAGGAGATGATGTGGACCTTAAAAGAAAAGAAAATGGAATTTAAAAAAAATGAACAGTTTGCTTCTTATGGAAATCTTGGAGGAGGGGACCAGTTTCAGGACCACTGATGTGTAGGGGTGGATCTCTGTTTTTCTTGAAAGGTGGGCAGAGTTGCCACTGATGCACCCTACTGCTTTTAAGCCATTTGAAATTCACCTTTGTGTTAGTTCTGGCCTTAACAGATGGAGTAAATGCGTGTACTATTTTCAAGCTCATTTATTGAAAAGACAGATTTATAATTTTGAATTCTGACTTTTGAAATAAGCTTATACTAAGCAATCCAAAGAGATTAAACACCTAGCTGGTGACTGACTTGGCTGCTTTTTTGAGATTTTAGAGATTTAACACAATTATAGCGTCATATCTGGGACATTGAGTCTTGGGTGGTGAAAACCGTAGCCTATCAGAAACAACTGAAGGAATTCAGGGGTTATTTAGCTTGGAGATGCAGTGACTTAAGGGAGGATGTAGTGGAGAAGGGATTAGACTGGTTCCCCTTAGCCCTGCAGGACAAAACCAGGACTAGGGGTAGAAGTGCCAGAAACACAGATTTCAACTCAGTATAAAGAAAAACTCTGCAGTGGTCCTGCCCACAAATGGAATGAGCTATCTCAGCAGAGAGTGAGCCTGCCATTCCTGCAGGTCTTCAGTATAGATGACTCTGCAAAGCAAATATTGTGTGGCTTTCTTTGTGTGGGAGTGGGGCTGGAAGACCAGGAGCTCTTCAGGTCTGATTTCTCAGAAAGATCTGCCTTCAGATACTTTGTCAGGACAATCCTGCATGCTAAACCAGCCTTGATATGTGTGCCTTCGTGTTCCCCCTGCCTGCTTTTGGCGTTTGCATGCTTAAACACATGTTGGTTAACAGGAGATAGTGCACAGTAGATACAGTATGTTTGATATCATGGAGAACTCTGAGGAATCCAGGATTCTCTTGTACTTCCAGCCTTGGAAGAGATCACTAAATTCTTTCTGGGTCTATACCTGCCAGGCTGAAGTGGATAGACACAGTTTCTGCTTCTGTTTTGGTCAGAGACAGATGAATGGCGGCTCTGTTAGTCTAAGTAGTTCAGGAGACAGCTTTATTTTCATAGGCTGATCAGGGCTGCCTCTGTGCTGGTTTTAAGGCAGGAAGCTTTTCCTAGTAAAGGAGGGTGCTTCCTTTCTGGGGACCAGCCTCAGTCTCATCCCATTCTTCTTCCCCCCCCGCAGCGCATTTGCCAGATATCCCAATGGAGTGGTTGTGCACTACTTCTGTTCCAAAGAGGTCAACCCGACTGATACCTGAACTGGAGCTGTGCTCTGAGGTCAGCAGACTACAATTCCTGCCTTTCCCAGAAGGACAGAAGGAGTGAAAGCTCCTTAGGAAACAAGATTGCCTCCAGGAGGAGTCTTCATTTGGACACTACTCGGTACCTTACAGCCTGGAGCATCTCTGGACTAACTCTACTCCCAACCCCGACAACAACAATGTTGGCTTTTTAAGAGGAAAAAAATGACTTGTACGGTTAAGTTGCTGGCAACTTCACAAAATCTCTTTGATACTTAGGATGTGAAGTAGATGCATCCTCCAGTGTTTGCATTATTATGCACTAAGAAAACTTGTTTTGAGCATTTGTAACTGAAGGGGAATTTTTCCATTAAGAACCTTTTTTATAAAGGTAAATACATGTCTTCAAGGACTTGGAGGCCAGACTAACTGGAGAGTCCAGTGAAAAGAGAAAATTCTAGGAGCTGTGCCATCTGTGTAGACAGAGCAGCTAGCTTTCTATTTAAGGATGTTTGTTTTTTTCCCTGTCTGGTTTTGGTGCTAGACACTCCCAAGACATTTTCCTCTCTACTCCCTCCCTTTTATCTTTGTCTCACTTTCATTTGGTTACTTTTTCCTTCTCACTTTTTCCCCACAATTCCTGAGGTCAGAAATGACTAGTATTTGGCACTGTTATGTTTGACATGCAAGGGGTTAATTCTCCAGAATTTTTGTATCACCTCTGCAGGTGTTAAGGGGGTCTTAGGTGGGAGATGTAAATATGTCCTATTTGTACTGCACAATCAATCACTCCTTCCTTCATGAACGGGAAACCAGGAGGGCATTACCTTTCTAGGAAAGGCATCCTACATCCACCGTCTGTCCAAGTGGAGAGTGTGGGTCCAAGTTATGACATCATAACAAGTTATGCCAAGTTATGATGTCATAAAGACTGGACCGGCTTCTGAGTGCTTGGTGTGAGATCATATTCACACACCCCTGCAGTGTTGGCTACTCCCAGGCTCATTCACCAGTAGCAAAGTTAAGTTAGTTTAATATTTGTTCATGATGCTATGCCTTGTTTCAGGTACCTCCTCGCTCTGCTACTGGCTAGTTCCTGCTTGCATGCCATGAAGAATAAGCCTGATTATTAGTCTGCTGGTGTTTTGAGGGAGCTGGTGGATTGGGTTGCAGTATTGTAGGTGGCTGGGTCTTTGAGAAGTTTGGAGAAAAGATGCAGTTAAGAGCTCAAGTATATTTGTGATCATATTCAGGGAGGATGGGAGAAAAAGGCAGTAGCGCAAATGGGCTTTTAAAGTACATCCTTCACCCCACCCCCAGCCCCAACCCCTGTATTGTTTCCCCCAAGGTCCTTTAAAGCACTGGTTAGGTTGTATTCTTGCCACCCACAGGATTACTTGTGGTTTCATGGAGTACAATTTGCAGCATCTCTCATTTTAAAAAGGATTAGGACCTACTATCTCTGCACCCTCAATAGACAGGCCGAGGACATGAAGGACAAAGAATCCTGCATCCTGACATTAATGGGGATTCTGTACACTTGACCACTTCAGTTTTGTTGCCCTGGTACCTTTAGTGGGTGGTTGGAAGCAGGGCTGAGTGATGGAGCAGTGGATCCCTTTCTCCTCATTCGAGGAAGCAGTCATAGTGGCCAACTCTGTTTCCCTTATGATATAATGAATTTTCACTGTGGCGTTTTGGCATCTCTTTCCCTGTGCTGTCAGCATTGCCTTCAGGCTTGTGGGGGTCTATAGACTCTGCTGCTAAGGGAGACTAGTTATGAACTGAAGGAGTCCTAGTCCTCCACGTGGACCTGTGTGTACTATCTGAAGATATATTGTTAGCTCCCAGCTCAGCTGTAACATTTTGGCTAATTATTGACAGCGGTGATGGAGACAACTGGGAATAGGTCAGTGAGAATGAGGCGTCTTTCGGGAGAGCTGTGAAGCAAGTAAGCAGGAAGAGACAGGGCCAGTTACCAGTTTGTCCATATGTGCATAGCAGCAAAGGAGAGACTGGGACCGAGCTGCTGAGAAGGTAGCTTGGAGGTGGGTAACAGGCCTCTCCTCAGCTTTCCTGCTGAAGCCCTCCTAAAGCACATGCTGCACTGGCCTAACACCTTCTGTCTCTGGTTTCATTTACTGTGAGCCAGATTTGTTCAAAGCAATAGAATAAAGATTATGTGTGGTCTTACATGTAGCAAGCTGCCGCTTTGTCAATTCCATCCCTCTTACTTTAGCCATCTTTGGGCCATACTCCTACCTAGCACCTACTTTTGGCAGAAGTCTACCCAACATGAGGTTTGACCTGCTGTATTTATCTTAGTTGTGTGTGAAATTGTCACAGCTACTAAGTGAGGTGTGGGAAAGGCAGTGGGGGAATCATAGCTTTATGGGGTGAGCTGGTGACAACGATCTCTTGTTCCCTTCAATAATGATAATAAAATTTAACGAACCTTTCTATCTCTGGTTTGTTTGTTTTTTTTCCTTTGTGGAGTTTGGTTAAAAAACAAAAAGCAAATGATGTTTGATGCTCACATGTTTCTTGGAGCTAAGAGGAAAGTCGGGATCACTGGCAGGGTAAAGTGGACAACGCCAGGTTTATGTATTTGAGCTGTTGTGGCTTATCCAACTTTAGTTCTTTCCTCCATGTTATGAAATCATAGGATTCAAAACTGGAAGGAACCTTAGAGCTCATCTGGCCCAATCCTTTCATCTCCTGTGGTAGGATCTGGCACCTCTCCCCCAGTCTATCCTGTCTCGGAGGGATTTGGGGCTAGGGCTAAAAGTGAAGGGAAGGCTTCTGGAATGTTTCATAGAGGTGTGTTTTCTCTAGGTCTTGAGTTATCCCACATCGCTCACTTCTACTGTTGACTTCGAAAGTGATCTGTCCCTTCTGCCGCCTCCTCCTCCTCCTCCTCTTGTGCCCTGGAAGGCATTCCTTCTATAAAAATAAGGGGTAGGGGAGAGGAAGGGGAGGGTGACAGGAAGACAGTTGGAAGGAAATAAATGGTTTTGGTACTAATGTGATTATCGCAGGGTGCAAATAACTTCAGAAATTCCAGAGTTATTGTTTATATTACAACATTATCTCTTTGGCTTTTTTTCACATTGCTATTTCTTCAGTATCAATAAATCAGTAAACTTTTTAGAGTACCTATGTCCTGGCACTGTGCTTAGCTCCAGGGATACAAAAAGGCAAAAGACAGTCTCTGCTGCCAAGGAGCTTGCAATCTAATGGGTGAGACAACATGTAACATGTACGGGATATATAGAAAGTAATGAACAGAGAAGGAACTGGAATTTAGATGGGCTGGAGAAGGTTTCCTGTAGCAGGTGAGATTTTAGTTGGGACTTAAGGGAAGCCAGGGAGATCAGTAGTTGGAGCAGAGGAGGGAGAGCATTCCAGGCATGGGGGAGAGCCAGAGACAATGCTGAGAGATGAAGTGTCTTGTTCATGGAATGGCAAGGAGGCCAGTGTCACTGGATTGAAGAGTGTGTTTTGGGCAGTAAGGTGTAAGAGGACTGGAAAGGTAGGAGAGGGCTATGTTATAAATGACTTTGAATGCCAAGCAAAGCATTTTATACTTTCTTCTGGAGGCAATAGGGAGCCACTGGAGTTTATTGAGTAGCGGAGTGACATGATCAGATCTGCATTTTAGGAAAATCACTTTGGTGGCTGAATGGAGGATGTATAGGTGTGGGGAGAGACTTGAGGCAGACTGACCCCCTAACCAGCAGGCTGTTGGAGTAATTCAGGCGTGTGGTGATAAGGGCCTTCACTAGAGGAGTGGTGGTACCAAGAGGAGAGAAGGGAACAAATTCAAGAGATGTTGCAAAAGTAAAATCACCAGGCCTTGGTAACAGCTTAGATGTAGGGGTTGAGAGACAGTGAGGATCCAGGATGACTCCTAGGTAGTGGGCCTGAGGGACTGGGAGGATGGTGTTGCTTTCTACAGTAATAGGGAAGATAGGAGGAGGAGAGCGTTTAGAAGGAAAGATAAAGAGTATTGCTTTGGATACATTGAGTTTAAGATGTCTACTGCACATCCAGTTTGAGATGAAAGGCAGCTTGAGATTAGAGATTGGAGGTCGGCAGAGAGGTTGGGGCAGAATAGGTAGATTTGAGAGTAGAAAATGGTAATTAAATCCATGGGAGCTGATGAGATCACCAAGTGATGTAGTATGGAGGGAGAAGAGGGCTTGGGAGAAAACTGAGGGCCACTTACAATCAGAGGGTGTGGTCTGGAAAAGTATTCAGCAGAGGAGACAGAGATGGAGAAGGAATGGTCACATAGGTAGGAAAGGAACCAGGAGAGAGTGTTTGTCCCAAAAACCTGGAGAGAAGAGAGTATCAAGAAGGAGAGAGGGATCAGGGGTGTCAAAGGCTGTAGAGAGGTGAAGGAGAATGAGAATTGAGAAAAAAGGCCATTGGATTTGGCACCTCAGAGATTGTTAGTAACTTTGGAGAGAGGTCGGAAGCCGGATTGTAAGGGATTAATGGAGTAAGAGGAGAGAAAATGGAGGCACCTTTGTGTAGATGGCCTCTTCTAGGAGTCTGTTAGCTACAAAGGACATAAGAGATATAGGATGTTGGGAGGATAGCAGGATCAAGTGAGGGGTTTTACAGGATGGGGGAGCCATGGACTTGTTTGTAAACTGAAGGGAAGGAGCCTCAAGCCCTCTTGGAAGAAGGATTCTTGAATTTCTTTCCCCTTTACCTTTCATTCTCTGGAGCAGCTAAAAGTGAAGGACCCAGAAATTCTCCTTCGCTCTTCTTTTTGGCCACCTTTTCCTCTGGGGGTCAGCCACATATCGTGCTCCCCATCTCTCTTGTCACTTCGTCCAAGATCATCATAATGGTCATTGTGAGGTGTTGGCATGTGATTGGTTGGTTGCTGATGAACAGTCTCCTCTGGGACAGGTCATTCATCCTCTAGTCTACGATAAGCCACTAGAGTGGTTCACCATGAGTGGAGAAGAAGGCAAATTGTATCTCTCTTTTACCGTTTTCTCTCAGAATGGCATTCAGCAGACTGTCTGGGCTGATCTGAAATGGACAAATAAGGCCAGCGCCATGAGCGAAGGCATGGCACAGTTGTAGTGGAGCTGAATGTAGCCACGTTCCCAAGTCCAAGATCAGACCTTCTTAGTGGCTCTGTCTCCTGTCACTGGACGACAGCCTCACCAGGGGAATTAGTTTCTAGGATTGTGATTTCTGCAGGGTTCTGCAAACTGCCATATGGGAGCTATGGTAGTATGGTAAGCCACCTTAAGGTGGCAGAGGCTCCAGATTTGAGCTGGTGCCCCAGCTTCAGAAGAAAAGACAACTTTCTCCATTGGTACACATACAACCACTTGAGCTTCCAGTCTCGATTACTTATTTTTTACTCTGAATAATTTTACTTTTAGATATTGCTTGCCCAGACTCCTCCTTGGAGATGAGGGTTGGGAAGGGAATGACCTGATGTTTGCAGGAGATAAATGACTCTGGTAACTCTGCCTCTAGGTCAATGGTGATGGTGGTTGCCTGAGGTCCTCCTGTTACAGCTGGAGGGCTGATGGCCTCAGGACAGACAGACCTAATTTCTTCTATTGCCCTTCTTCCTGTCTTTGCTTAAGAGAGAGGATTCTCCTGAGGGGTCAGGTTGTTCTCTGGCCAGATTGGCTACTGTGTCTCTTCTCTGTAAAGAGTACGTTTGGCACCTAGTAAATTGGATGAACCATATTCAGGGGAGGTTGGCTGAGCAGAGACCACAGGGCCTGATTACACTATCTCTATCTCTGTAGCCTTAGCCAAGATGCCTGGGCCCTACCCTATTTCACCTGGTGGTGTTGCCGGTCAGGCAAGTTAAATGTTAACTAGAGGAAAGGCTGAATGAGTGACTGACTGCCTGCCCTCACAACTGAGCACACCATCCAAGCAGCACCAGCTGTTGAAAACTGGTTGCCACTGAGCTATGTTGTGGACTAGTTTGCCTAGGCAGCTTGTAGGCAAGGTGCTTCCAGTCCTGGGCACAGTGCTGTTCCAGAAGAGAGAAAAAAGAGGATTTCAGCTAAGACACTGGCAGGTAATAAAACTGGCAAAAATTTTTCCTTAGGAAATGGGGAATATGGAAGTTGGAGGTGGGTGGGCAGGGCCTTTGGTTTCAAAGGAGAAAGAGTCCCAGCTTTGGAATCCAGGGAACCCAAGTGAACAAATCCAACCCTGCAAAGGGTTGTTACATTTAGCAGTGTTCTGATCTTATCCTGGTCCCTGGGAATTTGGTAGGATTATTCTTTGGTGAGATTGAATGGAGAAGAGGGTTGGGAAATGCTTATCTATTCTCAAAGGGGAACAACATTATTGTGGAATGAATGTGGAGTAACGTGCTTTTTGTTTTAGTTATTGTTTTTGTTTTTTTGTTTTTTTTAAATCATGGATGTTGTACCTGATTACAATGTCTGCTGAGGAAAGAAGGGTAGAGGTATCTCTAGAACTCTACCCTTTCACTCCTTTCCAAAAGGCACATTGTCATTAGAACTCCCTTCTCCTATCCCTAGCCCCTTCCTGCTGCGTCCCCACTCCCTTGGTCTTTTGATGGAAAAGTTTCACTCCCTGGCAGCAACTTAACATTCCCCACCTTCTCTTTCCCCTTTCCCCTCCCCACCCAGGAGTTTAGAACTGCAGGCTCCTCCCAAACCAGTCAGACCAGTTCAAGCCCTGTGAACCACTGTAACCTCAAAATTTCTAAAACCTTGTATGGGAGGCTGAGACATGTGACCTCTGCTTTGGAGCTGGTGGGCTGGTGGACCTTGCTTCATTTGCATATAACCAGTTTATGCAAATTGACTCCATAACTGCTTTTGGTGCTGCCCAGCCTGGGACAATTCTAGCCAAGTGGGAATCAGGAGTTTGTGGAGTCATCTGTGATCCTTGGACCTCCCTCCCCTTAACATTCGTGATCCAGAACTTTGCTGCCTTTGTAGTCAGACTGGGCTGCTGCTTTTTTGGGGGTGGGATGGTGTAGAGGAAGGTTTTTTGGGCCTTCAGACTCCCTGGGATTGAGTCCAAGAAGCTTCTGTTTTTGCAGCGTGAGATCTATCCGCATCACGACCTTCAGGTGAAAGTGGTGAGAGCCAGAAATGTCAAGGGCGCGGACCTGTGTGAGTCTTCTACTAATCTCTCCTTTCAGTTTCCTTTTGAATGAGTGAATGAACAAATAAATGGATGGAAAAGGCACTCATTAAGTGTTAACTATTTGCCAGTAGCTGTGCTAAATGCTGGGAATACAAATAGAAAAATTGAGTCAGTCCTGCTTTCAAGAAAGTCAAACTCTTCATTGGGAGAGATAACACAGAAAAGAAAGTTCAGCTTTCAGGGTAGATGAAAAGGGGGCAGCGATGGAGCAGATGGTAAGGTCCTTAGGTCAAGTCAGTAAGTGGTCAGAAGAAAGTGCCTGGGGCCTGAAGGATTTAGAGACAAGACAGATAGATGGTAAAGTCTAGTGGTCCTTCATCTCACTGGAAGGAATAAAATTGTGACTTCCCCATCTCATCTCAGCAGGTTCTAGCAGTTAAGTAGTCCTGATGAGTTCTGAGTATAGTAATATATTAAATATATATGATATATATGTACACATATAATATATACATTTTATCTCATTTGCTCCTCACAACAACTCTGTGAAATAGGTGCTATTATTACCCTATTTTACAGATGAAGAAACTGAGGCAAAGAGAGGTTAAATAAATCATTTACAGAGTTACACAGGTAGCTATCTGAGGCCAGATCTGAACTCAGGTCTTCCTAACTCCAAGTGCAGCACTCTATTCACTATCCAGATGACTTCTTCAGGGACAGAGGCCACATACCTATAGGAAGTAGGACAATGATTACTCTCACCCACTACCCCTCTCTTCCAGTGTCTGAGGCAGACTGCTTTGTGGAAGTACGACTCCCTACGTCCTCGCCATTCACTTCTCGGACAAAGGTGGTTCCCAATTGCAGCCATCCAGAGTGGAATAAAACCTTCCACTTCCAGATCCATGATGCTGTGAAGGTGAGGAGTTAGTTAAGTCGAGCAGTGAAAGGGAGAGGAGAACTGAGGGCTCTGTGATTTTGTTTCAATGGCCCAGTGGTTCAGGAGCTGGTTCCAGGCTATTCCTGAAATCCCCTACCCCATCCCACTCCACTCCTGTTTCATTTTATATGACCAGCTCCCATGTGCTGCCCCTCCTGTTTCAGAATGTACTGGAGCTCACCCTCCTTGATGAAGATGTTCTTCAAAATGACCTACTGGCCTCTGTTATGTTTGATCTTGGGGGCTTGGAGCCTGGCCATTCCCACAGTCACACCTTTCTGTTCAACCCAAAGGTGAGTCGACTCCACCTGACTTTCAGATCAATAGCAAGCATTTGTTTTTCTAAGGGGCTCTTTTTAAAATTTAATATTTTATCTTTCCCCCCAATTACACATAAAAACGTTTTTAAACATTCATTTCTTAAAACATTGAATTCCAAATTGTCCTCTTCCCTCCCTTTGCCCCTCATTGAGAAGGCAAAAAAATTTCACATAGGTTATTCATGTTCAGTCATGCAAAACATATTTCCGTATTACACATGAATAACAAGCATTTATTAAACTCCTACTATGGGTAAGGTGTCAGGGATAGAAAGACACAATTCCTTCCCTCAAGGAGCTTACATTCTACTGAGATATATACAACAAAAATTGAGATAGCAGAGGGCACTAATAGTTTGCAGGAGGCATCACGGAGGACATCACTAGTGCCTGAACAAAATCTTGAAGGAAAACAAGATTGTGAGGAGCAACGGTGAGGAAAGAATCCATTTTGGATTTGGGAGATGGCATGATTGTAAATGTTGAGTTCAGAGAGCAGATAGTATTCCAGCTTAACAAAAACATAGGGCTCGAGGCAGCTAGGTGGTGCAGTGCATAGAGCACTGGGCCTGGAGTCAGGAGGACCTGAGTTCAAATGCAGCCTCAGACCAGACACTTGACACTTACTACCTGTGTGACCCTGGGGCAAGTCACTTAACCCCAATTGCCTCACCAAAAAAAAACCAAAAAAACCCCAAACCAAACCCAACCCAAAACAAAACAAAACAAAAAAAGAACATAGGGCTTATGAAAGGGAATTGGGGAATGGCTGAACAAATTGTGGTATATGGTTTTGACAGAATACTGCTGTGCTATAAGAAATGATGAACTCAGTCATCTTAGAAAGGCATGGAAAGATGCATGAAATGATGAAGAGCGAGCAGAACTAAGAGAACATCGTATACAGCAACAGCAACATTGTTTTAAGAACGACTTTAAGTAACTAAGTCATTTTGACTATTATAAATACACAAATTAAAAATAAAGGTCAAGGACAGCTAGGTGGCACGGTGGATAGAACACTGGCCTGGATTCAGGAAGACCTGAGTTCAAATGTGACCTCAGACACTTGACATTTACTAGCTGTGTGACCCTGGGCCATTTAACCCCATGGCCTAGCAAAAATAAATAAATAAAGATCATATGGAGAGAGACACTATCTGCATCCAAAGAACTGATAAATAGAATAGTATATAGAATAATTTTACATATGTATCTGTTTGTGTCTGATGGTAGCATTTTAGGGGATTGGGGTAGAGGGAAGAAAAAAAGGGGAAAAAATTACATAATAACATAATATATAAAATTTACATAATATTATTTAACATAATTTTTAGAGGAAATAGCAAGTTGTGCATGATAGATTTTGCAGGTTCATGTGCAATCATCTTTTTTATTGTATTGTGTTATGGAAATTTTGTTTTGTTGCCTGAATTGAAAATAAAATAAATTTTAAAAAAGGGAGTAATGTGAAATAAAGTTGGAAAGGTTAAGTAAGGAGCAGATCATTGAGGGCCTTAAATGCCAGGCTGAGGAGATTGTATTTCATTGTAACAGCGCTTCTTAAACTGTGGATCTTAACCTCACAGTTTAAGAAGCGTTGAAGGGTGTCGAGTGGAAAACGTTTAAGAAGCCCTGGTCTAGAACAGAAGTTCTTAACCCTTTTTTGTGTGTGTTTTGGGTCTTTTTGGCAGTCTGGTGAAGCATTTAAACTCCTCATAATAAGATTTTTAAATGTGTAAAATAAAATACATAAGAATATAAAAAAATTTAATTATATTTCATTGTATTAAAATTATTAAATTATTAAAATACTATAATATTTATACTTTGTAATTATCAAAATATCAATTATATTAAAATATAGTTATCAACATATATTTTTTAAAAACTCAAGTTCAGACCTTCTGCTCTAGAAATTTGGGAGCCACTGAAGGTTTTTGAAAAAGAGAAGTGACATAATCTAGCTTCTTTCTTTGGAAGATTATTTTGGCTGCTCTGTGAATGAATGAATGAGAAAACATTAAAGCTTACTCTATGCAAAGCACTGTGTTGGTGCGAGGGACAAAAACAGAAAAGCACAGTTGTTGCTGCTGCTATTTGTGTTTTGTTCTCAAAGAGGACTATGACATCAGGGAGGTGATGCCATGCCATGCAAGTGAATTGGATTTAAGTGAGGGAGGGCTGTGCAAAGTCACCAGCCTCACTTTCTCCTCCAGAACCATCTGGGTCCAGTGGCAAGATGGAGATCAAGGCAACTGGAGATGGCCCAGGATGCAGTGGGGGATGTTGACCTTTTCAACTAAGTCTTTTTTTTTTTTTAAATTTTTTTTAAGGCAATTAGGGTTACATGACTTGCCCAGGGTCACACAGCCAGTAAGTGGCAAGTGTTTGGTCTGAGGCCGGATTTGAACTCAGGTCCTCCTGACTCCAGGGCCAGTGCTCTATCCACTGTCAACTAAGTCTTTAACAGATCTGTCTCAGTTTGACTGAGGCAGGGCCCATTTCTTTCTCAAGGAGCTCACCTTCTTGAAATAACACGTCTAGGAGGCATGGAAGATAGATTAGCGGGGAGATGGATCAGGACGTTGGCTGTTAAAGTAGCACAAATGAGAGATGATGAATTAGCTTGGTGGTTATGTGAGTGGAGACAAGGCTTTGGTTATGAAAGATACTGTGGAGATGCAGTTGACAAGATGTGGTAACTGACTGACTGACTATAGGGGTGAGTCATAAATGCCTCTAAGGATATGAGGCTGGGTGACTAGGAAGATGGTGGTGGCCTCAACAGAAATAAAGAAGTTTGCAGAAGGAGCAAGTCGGTTTATGGGGAAGGATTAAGAGTCCCATTTGGATGTGTTGAGCTTTGAGGACACCAAAGAACTAACTTGAAGACATCTGGCTATGTGGGACTTTAGGAGGGGAAAGAAGATTAGATGAAAGATTGGAGTATTCTTTGCATCAAGCCTAGAAGTTCCTCTTTGCAAAATTGTCCTTCTTGCTCCTAATTCTGCCTTCTGTGGTAGAGCTAGGTTACTTCCTATCCAGGCTTACTTAGTCCAAGTGAGTTATGCTCACCTACAGAAGCCAGAGACAGTTCCTGATTATCACTCTTATTCCAAGATCTTACTACTAGTATTTGGGTACTAGAAAGGCAACAGAAAGGGTTTTCAAGGTAAGACTCTGACTGCCATCTTACGGACTTTTAACCTATAGAGAAAGGACCTCTTAGAGTATGTGAAAGAGGCAGTGTAGTGCAATGGAATGTGCTATTAGATTTGGAGTCTGAGGATACAAGTTCAAATCCTGCCTCAGTTACTTACTACCTGTGTGTGACCTTGGGCAAGTCACAACCTGTCTGAGCTTCAGTTTCCTCATCTGTAAAACAAAGGACAGCCAGACGGATAGAGTCAGTGGATAGAGTGCTTAGCCTGGAGTCGGGAAGACTCATCTTCCTGAGTTCAAATATAGCCTCAGACATTTAGTAGCTGTGTGACCCTGGGCAAGTCACTTAACCCTGTTGGTTTCAGTTTCCTCATCTGCTGAGTTCAGGGAACTCATTTTGAGCTGACGAAGGAGATGGCAAATCACTCCAGTATCTTTGCCAAGAAAACCCCAAATGGGGTCACAAAGAGTCAGCCATGACTGAGACGACTGAACAACAAAAATGAAAGTACAGGATGATAACTAGAAGGGATAGCAGGGACAAATAAAGTTTATTTTTTTTAAGGGTGGGGTAGTGTGCCGGCCGCGCCATGCACTCGCCTCCTATAAGGAGCAGGCTGCCAAGGTCATACTTACCAGTCTTCGGTGCCCACCCAGATAAACACAGAGACGAGCTGATCAGGAGGTGCCAACACTCGAGCTTTATTCAGAGGCCAAGCAAGGCCAAGCAGGAAAGCCAGAGCAAGAGAGCAGGAGCAAGAGAGAGCGAGCTCCGATCCCTACAGTTCCTTAAGTACCTACTTAGCCCCTCCTCCTCAGCCCGCCTACTAGTCATTGATTGTAGGATCAGATACCGGAAGGGGATGTCTGGGTTTAGCACACCAAGGGAGAGGAAGTGACGCAGGAGGCTAGGACCGGATACAGGAAGGAGGCGTCTGGGGTTAGTGCATAGACAAAAGGAAAGTACGTGACCCAGGAAGTCAGGCCCAGATACTGGGAGGAGGTGTCTGGGGTCAGTGCTACACAAAGGAAAAGTACGTGACCCAGGAAGTCAGGTTTGGACACAGGAAGGAGGCGTCTGGGGTTAGCGTTGTACCTAGGGAGGGGGCTAGACAAAGGAACTCATTCTCTGCCATCCCACTCCCACGTGGCACAGCCCCCTGCCTCAGGAGCACGTGCTCCGGCTACTTCCTTGTATCCTGTTCCTTCCCCAGCTTATCACAGCTCCACATAGCACTGCCCACTGCCTCGGGAGCGTGAGCTCCGGTCACTTCCTAATATCTTGTTCCTACCCCATCTTGCCACAACCACCACTTGGCAGTAGGCAACACCAGACAATCCCTCACAGGGTAGATAGAAGTATGTTGTAGATAACAGGGCAAAAGCCAGGAGGGGAGTAACTGAAGATGAGAAATAGAGAGGGAGAAATTGATAGGGCAAACTCTTGGAGGAGAGGATATATTGAGGATGCACGGAGAAGGACTTGGCTTTGGAAAGGGGAAAGGACCACCTTATCCTCAGTGGATGGAGTGAGGATATGAAAGGGATTTGAGATCCGGAGTAGCAAAGAAGAGATTACTTCATATGGTCTCAGGAAATGGACATAACTGGAAGAGGTTTGAGAAGAGGCTTCTGGATTTAGCAATCAAGAAGATCATTGGTGATTTGGAGAGAACAATTTCACTCAAATGGTGGGGGTCAGAAGTCATATTGCAACGGGTTGAGAGGTGAAGAATTACAGACAAAAAAGTTTAGTATAATTTAAAAAAAAAAAGTAGATTTTTGCTGATTATCTTTTGTTTTTGCATCACCTAGAATTCTCCATGTGTCTCCCCCTTTCCAGAAAGCCATTCCTTACAACAAAGAAAACTAAAAAAAAAAAAAAAAAACAAAAGAGAGAAAATCAAGAAAACAACACATTAAAAAAAACCCACATTTTCTGCGCAATGTTCCATACCCATGGACTTTTGCAAAAGAGTGAGGGGAAGTGTCTTCTCATATCTTTTATTTGGCACCAAGATTCGAAACATTCAGTTTTTTAGGTGGTAGTTCTTTCCATTTCTATTAGTATTTGGGTATTCCATGCCTGGAGTTTGGAGAGGGATAGGTTGAAAAGCCAGGGTATTTAAAGGTTGAACTGGTTAACTATGCTCATTCACCTCCCTACAGGACAAAGAGGAACTGCAGGTAGAATTTCTCCTGGAAAACGGGTAAGTTCTGGAGGATCCTGTCTGTGCCCTCAGACTTAGCCCATACTGTCATAGATGACGTGAGTCTTTGGGTCATTCTGTGAAAATCTAGGAATTCTGGCCCCTGAGGCAAATTCAGTACAGAAGGGAGGTGAGAGGAATTGTGCTCCAGGGGACCGATTCCCAGTTTACTACTCATCTCGGGAATGTATGAGAGTTGCCCTATGTCATGTGATCATGGTGCATAGAAGAATGACCCCTACTTCAGAGCAGCTGGGAACCTGATATGCCCCCTTCTCTCTATGTAGTCAGAGAACCATTTCTCAGTCTTCTGTTTGTCCCCTGGCTTCCTGGGAGCTATCCACATCTCTAACTGAATGGAGAAACAAAAAAAATCCAAAGAAGTGTAGACCTTTTCCCAGTGTTCTGGGGGATGCACCTGGAATCTCCCTTGCCAACCATGAATGTAGAACCATTATAAAGGGAGGGAACCAGCTCGTTTGTGCGTCAGCACCCTGGGGAAAAGCTCAGTAGTACTGTCCTAGTTAATGCTTTGTGTGCTGATTTGAATAGGATTTTGCTCCCACTCTAGGGTCCACAGACCTAATTTTCAGAAACACCGTGGACTCCTGGGGCCTTAAATCAGGACTAACCAAGACATTGCTGTTCCGCCCATCCTTGGCATACTGCTGTTTGAACTCAACTCTTACCCCCACTTTGGGAATGGGGAACCCAGCAGCCTGGGCTTGTTCAGCTGTTTTGGTTATGATGTTTTCGTAGCACCCAGTTCCATAAGTTCCTTGTTCTCTGCAGAAATGTGCCTGCCTCTGAAGTCATCACTAATGGGGTCCTGGTGGTGAGTAGGGAAGAGGAGCTTGAGGAGATCCTGTTGCTGGGTGATGGGCATCTATTTAGTGCCTCATCATACATTTATACATTATATATTAATCACCAAGGATTAAGCTGTCTGAGTGATAAAATTAGATAGAATGATGGCACCATCCTCAGAGAGTTTGGGGAGGCTGTAGGTAGCATCATGGGGGCAACTCAGCTTCCAGACTCCTGGGCTTCTGTGATGCCTAAAGGAATTACGAAGACCCAGATTTCTCCCTACCAGTCCCTCCTCTCTGTCCCTCCTTTAAAAAGGCTTCCAGTGTTAGCCTCTTTCCTACCCCAAGACGTTGGCTTATTTGGCTGTTTCTCAGGGCTGGTTTCCTAGGGTTTCCCGGGGCTCTGAAATTCTAGCAACATTCACCACATCCCTAGGTGAGGTTTTAAATAAGTTCTTCATTAGAAACTTGGGAGAAGCTGAATGGGAATCCTGAGGGACTGGGTCAGGAGACCCTTTCAGGTGAGGAGCAGAATGTAATGAGTCCTGAGCATCAAGTCCTGAGTAGGAGTGAAGGGACTACTAAAAGATGCTTTGAGAGGGGCCTCTTCAGCTCACCTGCCCTGTCCATGATCCTTCTAGTCCTCTCCTTATCCATAGGCCCATCCCTGTCTGAGAATCCAAGGCACTGTAGAAGAAAAGACTATTGCCCTGTGGCAGGAAGATGGTGAGTTTCTCTGGCGGCCTTTGGTTTCTTACTTTCTCCTTGGATAAGGTTAAGGCTTTCAGTGGGCTGTTTTCAAGGAACTGAGATAGGAGGGGAATTTCTGGGAGGATTTGCCAATCTCAGCCTTTTTTGTATGATAGCAATGAATAGGATCCAAGTTGGTGGCCCTGAGAGAGAGGCTGGGGGGAAGAGAGTGGGAACCTTTCTCTCTCCCTTCCAATGGCCGTGAGAGAGTCATGACCTAGTGGATAGGGCCCTTGACTTGGAGTCAGAAAGACCTGGGTATGAATCTTGCCTGAGACATATACTAGCTGTGTGACCCTGGGCAAGTCACCTAATGTCTCTCAACCTCACTTTCTTTATTGGTAAATGAAAGGGTTGGCCTCAGCCACCAAGGTCCCTGCCAGCTCTAAGTCTGTGATCCTATACTATCTCTACCTCTGAGCTCTACCCGCCCCATTTAACTTCTTCTGTCATGTATCACCTTCTCCTTCCAATCATTCTGATTTCCTGTGGATTCCTGGGTTATCTACTAGTATTCTTGCCTTGGCCACGTGGCAGGAATCCAAGATGGAGCAGGGGGGAGTGCCATCAGCCCAGGGCTATGAGGCCAGGGAACAGGAGTTAGCTGTAGGGCACTTGGTGTTTTTGGGATTACCCCCTTAACCTTTTCTCCTTGGCCCTTTGATCTCAGGAGACAGGGTGATACAAGTGTCAGTGCCTGGGGCCTATGAGAAGATGCAGTCCTTTCCCAAATATCCACCTGAAGAGGAGGACTTTTCAAACACCTTCATCTTTCATGTGAACCCTATCCTGCAATCCCAGCTGAACATAGTTTTGCAGCAGGTGAAGGAGGCCCGTGACTTTTGTTGGTCCTGTGTACCTATATTTCCCTATGTTGATTAATATCTTTATCATATTTAACATTTTAGGATGGCAAACTCTCCATCATTTTTTGGGGGGAGGGAAGAAATCAACAAATATTTGAGTATATTTGCTATGTGCTAGTCTCTGGAGATGGTGGGGAGGGCAGTGTACGGTAAGTGTTAAATGAGAACAGAGTTATTGATGGTAGTAAAAGTAGCATAAGCCAGAAGGGTATGGTGTTTAAAAAGTTCAAGAAACATAATTTCTGGATAATTAGTCATTTTATTAATAATGCTAGGCATTTTTAATAAAAGGTCAGTGGCACTCTTGAATGCCAAAGATAATTATGATGACAGGCTCATGGCTTGGAAGAGGAATGTTCCTGAGCGTGACAATCAACTCTGATTGGTTAACAGTTAATGAGAGGTGGACTTTACAAAGAGAAGTAAGCTTACTCCAATGAGGGTTGAGAGTAACATCATGTCAGTCATGGACAGAGAGCCTATCCTATATCCAGACCACCTGCCCAATCTTGGGCAATCTAGACAAAAGGACCTATCTCTACCCAAGTTTTATTGAGTGGAATTCACCTTAAATTAGAGATTCCTTGTAAGGTTGGGTGATGTCTGACCAAGACTGAGGGGAGAGTTAATTCAATGTCCTTCAAGAGACTGAACTTTTGAAATGAGGACTATAGAAAAAACCAAATCATTGGTTATTAGTAATCATTTCTCTCATGGAGTTGGGAGACCGGACTGCCAAAGGGGTCCATGACATGAAAATGGGTAAGAACTCTAGATCCAAGACCAATTGTTGATCTGCATGGGTAGAATCCATTAGTCAGTGAACAAGCATTTATTAAGTACCCACTGTGGGCTCGGCCCCATGTTAAGTACTAGAGATACAAAGAAAGGGAAAAAACTTTCCTTGCTGTCTGGGAACTGTCTAATGGAGGAGACATCTTAGAAACAACTATACACAAACAAGATATATACCGGATGGATTTGAGACCATTAGCAGGTGCTAGAATTAAGGGGGGATTGGGAAAAACTGCTTATAGAAGACAGGATTTTATCTGGGACTAGACGGAAGCCAGGAGGTCGAGATGGGGGCGGGGGGGAAGAATTCCAGGCATGATGGACAGCCATTGAAAATACACAGTCAGGAGATAGTTTCTTGTTTGAGGAACAGAAAGAAAGCCATTGTTACTGGATCACAAAGTACCTGGAATTGGGTAAGGTATAAGAAAACAGGAAAAGTAGGAGGGGACCAGGGGGATGACATGTCAGACTTATGCTTTGGGCAGATCACTTTGGCAGCTGAGTGGAGGTTAGAGAGAAGGAGGGAGAGATTTGTGGTGAGACCCACTAGATGGCTATTGCAGTAGTCTAGGTGTGAGGTAATGGAGGGCAGTGTCAGAGGAGAATGAGTCACATAGAGAGGTGGTAAGAAGGTAAAACTGGCAGGCCTTGGCAATGGATTGTATCTGGGGGGTAGCAGTGAGAGAAAGTAAGGAGAGCCAAGGCTGATACCTGGGTGATGAGGGGATGGTGGTGTCCTTGATACTAAAAAGGAAGTTTGAAAAAAGGGAGGATTTGGGGGAAAATATAATGAGTTCACCAGCAGGTGCCCACACCAATGAAATCATAGGTCTGGACAAACAAACAAAAACTGCATTATTCAAGAGCTTCTGATCTGGGGCAGCCTTTTCTGGGGGACCCTGGTGGTCTCTGCCTTCAGCTTCTCTTCTGTCCTAATGCGTCTTGCATGGTTGTTTCCTTTTCCCCCAGAGTCCTGAAATGGAGACCCAAACGAGGATACTGGGTAGAGAGGAGATACCCCTTTCCTCATTGCCCCTGGACCAGGAGGTGCAGCATGTGGTGGTTCTGGGAGAGGTAAAATTCTATCATCTGAGGTCCCAGGTGCCCAACATTTTGCAAATCTCATCATCTCTGCATGTCCTCTGAATTGCCCCGGCTGGGGTGGGGAGGGTGGGGTGTGGGGTGCCACGGTGCGGGCAGGGCAGTCTATGTGGACTTCAGGCCCAGGTGAATGAGAAGCAGTTCTTAGGATCTGTCATCTTGCTTGGGCAGTGCTAACTATAAAGGCAGGTGGAAGGAAGGTGTGTCAATATATGACAGCGCAAATACCCTCTGGGTAGAACCAGTACTGATTCTGAACCCAGAGGACCTGGATTCAAATCTCGCTTCCTAACATATGCTGTGTGAGCCTAGGCAAGTCACTTAACTTCTCTGGGACTCAGTTCCTAATTTGTAAAATTAAGGGGCTAGACTAAATGACCTCTCTAAGGTCCCTTCCAACTAATAACTAGCATTCATATAGCACTTTAAGACTTGCAAAGCACTTTACAAATATTATCAGATTTTATCCTCACAACAATCCTGGGAAGTGGTATTATCCCCATTTGACAGATGAAGAAACTGAGGCCAAGAGGTTAAGAAAGACAGCAAATATCTGAGGCAGAATTTGAACTTAAGTCCTCCTGACTCCAGGTCCAGTGCTCTGTCTGTGATTCCACCTGGCTGCCTCTAACCCTAAATCTGTCATCCCCAGAGTTACTCTAGAAATGAGTTCTGGCATTGGGGGCTGGGATTGCATAGAGAGGAGTGAAGCTTGTAGCAGTTGGTGAAGCACAGTTTCTCTAGCAGATGAGTATGTAAACGTGAGCCAGTTGTTCAAGATCAGGGCTGTTTTCTGTTTCAGGGGTTTGAGCTGACTCTGAGCCTCAAGGCAGAAATAAGGTGAGGTGACTCCAGGGGGAGATGGGCAACAGCTGTGCAAGGTTGAGTCCCCAGGCCCTGGGCCATCCCTATGAACGCTCCACCTTGTTCCCTTTCCTCTTCCCTCCACGTCTCGACTGAGTTTAGGCTGTCTGACACGGACCCATGATGTTTGGTTGGTTGGGAAATCTCTTCTCTTTCTGAGGACCTCTTGGGATCTGTCTATGGAAAACAGCAGATCTGGGCCTAGACTGGAGCTGCTTCTATAGAGAGGGGGTCCTCTGGGCAAGGAGGGGCCTCACTTTGCCCTCCCAGCTCTGTGTGCATTCCCAACTATCTTCTCTTATGGAGGGCAGCTCCAGGGACCTTGATCTTCGCCTTGGTTTCGACCTGTGCGAAGGGGAGCAGATGTTTCTGGACAAGAGGAAACCAGTGGTGTCAAAGGCTCTGCAGAAGGTGCTGGAATTGGACAAAGCCCCCCGAAATGATCAGGTATGGAATACAGCCCTTGGACCCACAGGGTCAGTGGGACCTTATTGCCTTGGGGTGACTGTCTTATCCTTGATTCCCTGGTGCTTCCCACAACGCCTTAGTGCAACGTGCAAACAACTATGTACAGATTATGTGCAGAATAAATGGAAATAATCAACAGGGAGAAGGCACTAACCTCGAGGAGGACTGGAAAGACTTCCTGTAGAAGGCGGGATTTTAGCTGAGACTTGAAGGAAGTCAGGGAAACAGGAGGCCAAGATGAAGAGAGAGAGAGAGAGAGAGAGAGCATCTGGGGCACAGGGGACATCCAGTGAAAATGCCTGGAGTCAGAAAGTATATCGTGACCTTTAAATCTCTTAATAGTAGAAGGCTTAAACAAGATGGATGCTGCTACAGTAATGTGGTTTCATTTGATACAAGATAACCTAGTATCTGTCTCCCTCCTCCCTCAGATGTAATCTTTGGCATATGTTTGAATAGTGAGGAATGGTTTTAATCTTGTTGCCCAAGTTAGAGTGAAGATGTGGGTCACATGATATTCATGCTCTGTTTAAAAAAAATTCTGAATCTCAGGCAATTGTTGTCTTGTAACAGTTTTAATTCTTTTTAATTTTTTTGGTTACATTTTAAGTTCCTAACTGTGATGATTAAAAAGGTTCGAGAAACATAGTTTCTGGGTAGTTTAATCATTATATTAATAAGGCCAGCACATTATTAATAAAAGGATGGTCATTTGGCCATCTCTCTTAGAACAAAGACATCATTGTGGCAGGCTCACAATTCATACACTCTTCAAAGAGTAGGTGTTCCTGAGGGGTGACAATCAACTCTGATTGGATAACCCAATGGGAGGTGAGCTATATTAAAATGAGGGTCTTAGGGTACATGATTTGGATCACCCAAATCTTGGTCAAAAAGACATCAGTTTCCATAATCACCTGTCTTGACGAAAGGGAGAATCAACATTTTCTCAGACCTGTCTGAGCAAACACAATGAACAGGAATGCACCCATTAGCCCAAACTTAGAATTTCTTTTACTGTCTCATTAAATCTTGGCCTGGGTAAATCTCTAAGAGAGATTTCCCACACTGGTTGGTTTCTGGATGAAGAAGTAGAAAACGGGAAAAACCTTGGTCCTCATACAATAATTAGTTATTAAATACAAGAGAGAAACATTCATTTCTAACAACTGTCGCCCTCCCTCCCTCCCTGTACACCCTGTTCTATAGAAGGCCACCATTTCTCACACACACACATATGTGTATATGTTTATATGTATGTAAGTATGTAAAACCATGCTATGCATACTTCTATTTATCAGTTCTTTCTCTGGAGAGGCATAGCATCTTCCTTCATAGGGCCTTTGCAGTTGATTTGAATATTTACAATACTCAGAGTAACTTATTCATTTACAGTTGTTCTTTGAACAGTATTGCTGTTACTGTATCCAACATTTCTTGGCTCTGCTCATTTCACTCTTCATTATTTCCTACAAATCTTTCCATGTTTTTTCTAAAATCAACCAGCTCATCATTTCTTCAGCACAGCAGTATTCCATCCCAATCATATTTACTATTTAATATTTAGTAAATTACCAATTTACCAAAAACATATTTACCAATACTATTTAAACTATTCTTCAATTGATGGGCATTCCCTCAATTCCCAGTAATTTGCCACCACAAAGAGAGCTGCTATATATGTATATTTTAGAACATCTTTTAATCCTTTAATAAAAGGTTTTGTTCTGTAAAACTTGGACTTAGTCAAAAGGCTGCACCTGAGGACCTAGAGGGCCACATGTGGCCTCGAGGCCGTAGGTTCCCCACCTCTGATCCTAGGTTCTGTTTCTTTTTCCCTGACCACCTTGGGAAACAGACCTAATAGTGGTATACATTTCAGTTTTTAAAGGCATTTATTCTCCAAAGCTGTATGAACTTAAGTTTTCTCAGATGAACATATTCATGAATGGGAGGGTGGGGGATGGGAAGGTGATAAACAAATAATAAAATGTTTAAAAAGATGAGGCCAGATAAAGGAGCAGTCAGACAGTGAAATTTAAAAAGGGGCAGTAATTTAAAGTTTATTCCAACTATACTACAGGTGAGGCAACTAGATGGTGCAGTGGATGGAGCACTCATCTTCCTGAGTTCAAATCTAACCTCAGACACTTAGTAGCTGTATGACCCTAGGCAAGTTACTTAACTCATACTTTCCAACTCCATCTCCTTGTACCTACCCAAACCAGAGATAAAGCTAAGATACCCAGAATCTGTCCTGCTTTATTAAGATCTTGACTATCACATTCACAAATGATAACACTGTTAGTGTCCCCAACAAGCCAGTACTAGACCTGCTCCTAAAATCTGCCTCCGGGTGACTGCATTCAGGTGACCCAAGCGTATCACTGGCTACAAATGTGGAGCTTAGTTAGTTTTGTAGAATCTATATGGATAGAGGGCTGGGCCCGAAGTCAGGAAAACTCATCTTCAAAGACTTCATTCTTCAAATCTGGCCTCAGACACTTACTAGCTGTGTGACTCTGGGCAAGTCACTTCACCCTATTTGCCTCAGTTTCCTCATCTGTCAAATGAACTGGAGAAAGAAATGGCAACATTCCAGTATCTTTTCATGAAAACCCCAATTGGGTCACAAAGAGTTGGATACAACTGAACAACAACAACAACAAAATAATGCAAGTTGTTCCGGCTTTAAGGTTGCATCATCTGGCATCCTTCTGAGTTTATTCCCTAGATAATCTGTTGAACTTGTCTCTCTGCTTTATAGATCCATGCACTGTCTGGCACAAAAGGGGCCATCTAGGTTTGACTCACATAGCAGTGAACAAACAGACTAATGAACTTTAGAAATAGTTGTAGCAGGACATGGCTGTGATCCTAGCATATCAAGACAGATACTGTCATTACTGTTAATATTTGGAGGATAAATTCTTGTTGTAAATGCAGTCCTAGGTGGTTTGAAGGGGGTTGTCTGTAAGAAAATAAACTTGAGCCCTCCCTCCAAAATATACAACACTCTGATGTGGGTTGATATTGGGTCCCATAATTGTGACTTGTTAATGAAACACATTATCCCTAACTGGACTTGCAGAACACTGTCCTGGAGGACTGTGGGTCAAATAACAAGTTTCTTTTAATCAGTTTTAGTGCCTTGGAGGGGTTTTTTTGTTTATTGCCTTTAGCCTGATTGAACTTTCTCAGTGAGTAGAAGGGGGAAGGGAGAATCTTGTGGATTTTTGTGTTTCCTCAACTACTTTGGATTTGGTCTCATCCCCACTCCATCTCCACGGGCTACTCCATCTCTCATCTCTGTGTCTTTGCTTTGGTGGTCCCCAATGCTTGGAATGATCTCTCCCTCCTTATCTCTGCTTCTTGGAATAGCTGGTTTCCTTCAGAATTCAATTCAAGCACCATCTTATGACAGGAAGCCTTTCCTCTGCACTCCCTCCATCCCCCTTCACCACCCATTAGTGCTCTCCCTCTCCACATTGCCTTAATTTATTTTGTATCTGTTGTGCAATTTGGTCTCCTCCATTAGGATGTAAACTCCTCTAGGGCAGGTGCTTTCCTTTTGTCTTTGTGTCTCCAGCACTTAACCTAGTGCCTTAGCACATAGTAGGCAATTAATCAATGAAGTTAAGATCCTACTATGTGCCAGGCACCATGCTGAACACTAGGCATACAAAAAGAGGCACAAGCCAGTTCCTTAATACATATTTGATTGCTTTTTGTCTGATCTTCAGGTACCAGTGGTGGCTGTGCTGGGCTCTGGGGGTGGGACCAGAGCCATGACATCCCTGTATGGCAGTCTGACTGGGCTACAGGACCTGGGTTTCCTGGATACTGTGACCTACCTGAGTGGGATCTCGGGTTCTACCTGGTGAGTGACAGACAAGAAGACTAGAGGACTCTGGTTTCTTCAACTTAGGAGCCACCCTGTCCTCTCAAGGACTCAGGAATGAATGTCCCCTGTGGGGTCAGGTACCACTGAGGAGATAGCTTGTATCATAACACTCCCACTGGAGGGAAATTGGCCTCGGTGCCCAAGAATGCCCATATACATAAGTTCAGGCTCCTGCCTTATGAACGGATCTAGACACAAATGAGTGGAATGGCAGTGACCCTGGTGTCTTGGGCTAGACTACCCCCCCTTTTTTTTCCTCTCTCCTTCCTCTGTCAACATCTCAGACCTGTAGTGATGAGGCTCCCTGTTCTCCAGGTGCATTTCCACCATCTACAAAGACCCTGCTTGGTCCCAGACATCACTACAGGGCCCAACGAGGCGAGCAGGAAACTTCGTGTGTTGCAGCAAAATAGGAGCCTTCTTGTCTGATCAGTTGTCCTATTACAGCCAGCAGCTGATGGCCCGAGAGAAGAGTGGCCTCAGCGTGTCTCTCATTGACCTTTGGGGTCTCCTTATTGAGTATTTCCTGCATCAGGGGGTATGAGAAGAGCTAGGGGAGGAGGGAGGGGGAGGAGGCAGATTCCCCTCTGGGCAGTGACTTCCTGCTCCGCATTGCTTCGTGACTCTCTCTAAAAAAAATTACCTAAAAAAATTTACTTAATTTTAAATTAACAAGCATTTATTTTTTCTCTCTCTCCCATTTTCTCTCTCTTCACAACCCCCTCAAAAAAACAAAGTAAAATCCTTGTAACAAATATGCATATTTAAATGAAAGAAATTAAGGCATTGGCCATGTCCTAAACATACATGTCTCATTTTGTACCTGGAGTCAATCACTTGTTTGTTAGGAGGTGGGTTTCATGTTTGGTGATTGCATTGATTGGAGTGCAAATGTCTTTCAAAATTACAGTTATCCCTTCCATATCATGAGATGAGGGACGCAGGGCCCCCACAATCTGAAAAATCCACATAAAATTTTTTGGCCCTCCCTTCATACCAGAGAAGTCTGAGTTTTTTTTCTTTTATGGGATTTTTACAGTACTTTATTGCAAAATTTGGGTTGGTGTTATATAATACCATATGTATATTTTACACATTTCTGAGTTTCTAAATTTTTTCTGTGTTGTTTGTTGGCCTTCTTGTGTCATTTACAGTTTTCACAAAACTCCCCCAAAATTCCCATTTCTTATGCTAGCTCATGATATACCAAAACCATGATGGGAAAAGTCATGATGTGGAAGGGATAACTGTATTTGTCTTTACAATGTTGTTAACTGTATGAATTGTTTTCCTTATTCTGCTCACTTTACTCCGGTTCATACAAGTCTTCCTAGGTTTGTCTGAATGTTTCCTTTTCATCATTTCTTATAGTGCAGTAGTATTTCATCACATTTTTTATACCATAATTTGTTCAGTCATTCCTCAACTATTGAATACCCCTTCAGATTCTAGTTCTTTGCCTCTATAGAGAAAACTTATAAATATAGGTCCTTTTTCTTTGATCTTTTTGTAGCATAGGCCTGGTAGGGGTGGTATTTATGGGAGAACCTGGGAATTTGGCTTATGCTCCCGTAATCCAAGATACAAAGGTGCCTGGTAACAGGCCTTTGTGACCCTGGTGTCTAGAAGAAAATATGTAGCTTCTGAAAAACTGGCCTCAAAAATCCAAACCAATAAAATGAGGGTGAACATCACAACAGAAGTTATAAGAAGCCAGTAACCTGGCTTGGAGCATACTGGGAGCATGTGGACCTCAAGGCCACAAAGATGGCAAACAGATGGTTGGGGATGGAGGAAGTGAGACAGAAACAACCAAGTCCAAAAGCAGGAGTATCCTTCCAGTCTCTCTGTCCCAAAGGCTGAGCCCCCTTCTTTTGTCCCATCCAGCAAAACCCAGTCAAGTTGTCTGACCAGCGGGCAGCAGTTGTTCAGGGTCAGAATCCCTACCCCATCTATGCAGGCATCAACGTCCACAGGAATGTGTCCAGCCAGGATTTCGCAGGTTTCCTGGGTTGAGGAGGGTGGTGGAAGTTGGGGCAGGAGTGATCCTCATAGAGAATGGAGGGAATTATCACTGGGAAGGGTATAATAGGAAGGTTGTAGATGTTGGAGGATGGCCATAAAATGGGGCTACGGGAAGATTGAGGAGAGATTCAATCCCCCTTTCAAATACAATGGATGGAGGATGGGAGGCAGGGCCTTTTCACCGGGAGGTTCTCTGGGTAACACTCCCTCCCATCCTTTTCAGAGTGGTGTGAGTTCACTCCCTATGAGATTGGCCTTCCCAAATATGGGGCCTTTGTCCCCACAGAGTTATTTGGCTCCGAATTCTTCATGGGGCGGCTGCTTAGATTTCGGCCAGAGCCCTGGATCTGCTACCTACAGGGTGAGTTCAGCGACAGAGGTGTAGGTATGATTGGAGAGGGGTCAGGGCATAGTGTCAAGTGCTGTACCTCCCATCTCATAGTGTCAAACCCCAAAAAGAAATGGGGCCACAAAACTGTATATAAAGACCTTGCTAGCCACCTATTGATTTCTTTTTAAAATGTAATACTATCTATATTTTATTTATTATTTTGTTAAATATTTCCCATTTACGTTTTAATCTGGTTTGGGCTGGCAGCATTCAGGAGTGTTGTGGGGCCATCCATTTTGATATTTCAGTCACAGGGCTCTCCTCCTGTGGGGGGGGGGTGGGTGCTAGATAGGGAAGTCTAGAGAGAGGAGCAGGAAAGAGATGAATTGTGGTTTGGGTTCTGGAGCCAAGGACGAAGTGCCCTGACCACAAGCATCTTCTTCTTCCTTACCTACACCTCTCATTCTGCAGGTGTGTGGGGTAGCGCCTTTGCTATCAACCTGGATGAGATCTTCCAGAAGACAATCGGCTCTGGGATCAACTTATTGGACTCTCACAGGAGTAGCATTATTGAAAAAGGTGGGCGTGGGAGGGCGCCGGAAAAAGGGGAGGGGAGGGAGGTGATTGACCAGAGACCTGACTGACCTTGGTCCCTATTCCTGGGGGCTTTGGTAGAAAGTAAGGGGAGAGAGTCAATAGAGAATCCGGATATTGGACTGAATTCAGGGAGCTTTTAAAACCAGGAGAACTCTGGAGGGGAAAAAGAAGTAGGGGAGGAGAGAGGTAGAATACAGAGGAACTCAAGGCCTGAGCCAGAGGTAATCTGGTGCAATCTTAAACCAGAACCTTGACCACTATATTCCTGCCTCCATCTACCCCATCTCTATCTTCCTTCTATCATCCCCTACTGTGATTGGTGCAATAGATTGCATTACTGGGCCAGGAATCAGGAAGATCTGACACTTACTAGCTGTGTGACCCTGGGCAAGTCACTTAACTTCAGTTTGCCTCGGTTTCCTCATCTGTAAAATGGAGAAGATAGCACCCACAGTAAGATTGTTTTGAGGATCAAATGAGATAATATTTATAGAAGTGCTTACACAGTGCCTGTCACGTAATAAGTACTATGTAAATGTTAACTATTACTGTTATTATTGTTATACCTACCCCATCCTCATCCTTCTTCAGATGACTGTGAGACCCTACAGCTGCTTAATCCAGCCCAGTTAAAGACGCAGTTCTATGTCCCACAAGGCATTTTCACCCAGACCATTATGGATCTCCTCACCACCCGCTTCACTTCTGGGGAAAACTTCAATTTTATCCGAGGACTTTGCCTGCACGAACACTACAGTGAGAGCAAGGAATTTTTAGCTCGGAAAGGTGACTCCCCAAAAGACACTGATACTCAGTCAGCCTTCCTGTTTGTGAATTTGTCTCCTGGGTGAAGGGAGTATCTCCTTAGATGTCTGATCTGTGTGTGTGTGTGTGTGTCTTTCTCTCCATACTTTTCTTTCATAGCCAGGGGGGATTCTGGGAGAGGGCAGAAGGGAAGAGGGTAAGAAGGGAGGTACTGTGAGTTCAAACCTGTGCTCCAAGCCTCACGTACATCTCTTGCATGTTAGTCTAGACGCAGGGGTGGGGAACCTGCAGCCTTGAGGCCACGTGGGGCCCTCTAGGTCCTCAAGTGCAGCCCTTTTAGTGGAGTCACATGTGGCCTTGAGGCCACAGGTTCCCCACACCTGTAATCTGAATGTGGGAAGAAAAAAGGATAGGTAGGCATGTCAAACATCAGCTAATAATAGTAACAATAACAGCATTTATAAAGTGCTTTAAGCTTTGCAGAGCTCTTTTACATGTTATCTCATTTGATCCTCACTATAATCCTATAAGAAAGGTGCTTTTGTTATCCCCTTTTACAAATGAAGAAACTGAAGCTGAGATATATTAAATGATGTGCCCAGGGTCACATTCTGCTAGGAAGTGTCTGAGACACAATTTAAGCTCAGATCTTCCCAACTCCATATCCGGACCCTCTGTCTACCATACTGCCTAGCTAACCAGGTTCTCAAAAATGTTTAGTGCAAGGCCTGGCACGTAGTAGACATTTATTAAATTCTTCCTTCCTTCCTTCCTTCCTTCCTTCCTTTTTTTTCCTTCCTCTTTTCCTTCTTTCCTTCTTTCCTTCCTTCCTTCTTTCCTTTCTTCCTCCATCCCTCCCTCCCTTCCTTCCTTCCAGCCAACCACCCAGATACTCTTCCCAATAAGCTAACACCCATGAGGGAGTACCTTTACCTGGTAGATGGAGGCTTTGCCATCAACTCTCCATTCCCCCTGGTGCTGCTGCCTCAGAGAGATGTGGATGTCATCTTGTCCTTTGACTACTCCTTGGAAGCTCCATTCCAGGTAGGACTTGAGGCACATGTGCGTGCGTGTGTGCGTCCGTGTGTGTGTGTGTGTGTGTGTGTGTGTGTGTGTGTGTGTGTGATGCTCCAGCAGATAGACATGGCTCATTTTGAGAGTCACCTCCCCCTTCCTTGGAAATTTTGGGGTTCTGTGCAGACGCTTATGAATTGGTACATCTCCTGGGGGTGCTGTGGTGAATGAATTGGTGGCGAGGGGCTCTGGCATGGAAGTGGGTGTGATTCTTGAATAGATTTAGCTTGGATGTGGCCAGCACGTCGAAAGTTTTTGATAAATGTTGTTGATTGATTGAACAGACCCAGGCTTTGGTGGGGGAGGAGTTGCTGAGCTAGTTTCAAAGATGGCAGTTGTGTGTTGGGGGGAGGAGAAAAAATTGCTTGGCTGAGGGGAAGTCCTTTGGGGAAGGTGGATGGTGGTTAGATGGAGAAGGAAGCTGGAGATGGGGTGAGAGGAGGGAAGAAAGTGGTCAAAGGTGATTTATTCAGGGTTAGCGTAATATCCTTTACTTGTTCAGACCCTACATCAGCTCTGTCCAGAGCCACTTTTCCTTCACAGTGATAACAATGTTGGTGATGAGCCCCTCTCACCCTGTCTATCCTGTCTCACAAACTTAAACACAGGCAGCTAGGCCGTGTAGTGAGTGATAGAGTGATAGACATCAGGAAGCCCTGAGTTCAAATCCCACTTCAGATACTTTCTTGGCTGTGTAACCCTGGGCAAGTCACTTAACCTCTCTCTGCCTCAGCTTCCTCATCTCTAAAACGGGGGTAATAATAAAAATAATAATAATAATAGCACCTACCTCCCAGGGTGGTTGTGAGGATCAAATAAGATAATACAGGGTCTAAGCGTCAATAGCTTACAACTACACTAGGACTTTTGGGACACCCTGAATATGTAAAATTGCTTCGGAAATCTTAAAGTGCTATATAAATGTCAGTTATTATTAAGACCCTTCCCTCAATCCTCTCCTTTATAGAAAGGGGCTAAGACAGGATGATGCATTCCACACCTGAACAAGAATTCCCTTCACAAGATACCCAGCAAGTAGTCATTTGTTTAAAGATCTCAAGGGACAGGGACCTTCTGCCTTCCAGGGGCCCATTCTCTTCCACTTTGGGATAGCCGTAACCATTAGGAAGATTTTCTTTGCATCAAACTGAAGTTTATCTCTACAGTTTCAACCCGTTCCTCCTCCTCCTTCTGCTTTCTGTGGCCAACCAGGAAAATTCTAATCCATCTTCCACATGACAGCCCTCCAAATACTGGAAGATAGCCATCTTGTCCTCATCTCCCTTCTCTCTCCCTCCCCCACCCCAGTCTTCTCAACACCCCAAGTCCTCTCCACCAATCTTTACCAATGCCTTTTGCCCTACCTTGGGTACAGAGCCCCCAGTGTAGAGGCCACTGGTCTGTATTGTTGCAAGTCCAACACAATGACAAAAGGAATTTGGATCAAACAGGAAACAAACAGAAAACCCACATAACATTAATGTCATGAACAACAGAAGTTACATGAAGGAAGGTGGAAGACTCCACCTCAGTGCAGAATTGGAAAGTGGTGGGGCCAGACACGGTTCATAATTGTTGGCTTGAAGACTTCACAGTGGTGCACAAAGTGTTTGTAAAGCACTTGATTGGTTTTCTCTCAGATCTAAGCCCAAGCCTATCTTTCTTCTGTTGTTCAATCGTATTTGGCTCTTTGTGATCTCCATTTGAGGTTTTCCTAGCAAAGATCCTGACGTGGTTTGCCATTTCCTTCTCCAGCTCATTTTATAGATGAGAAACTGAGACAAAAGAGGGGTTAAGTGAGTTGCCCAGGGTCACACAGCTAGTAAATGTCTGAGGCTGCATTTGAATTCAGGTCCTCCTGACTCTGGTCCCAGCACTCTATCCACTGAGTCACCTAGCTGCCCATAGCAGCTACTTTTCCTAGCAGAACACATTACATATTGATTACCAAAGGGTAAGAACAGCAGGGATTCTTCCAAATACAGGTCATTGGTGTCCTTTTTATAAAGCATTCACAACATGTATCATGAAAAATATCATGATGCAAGATTGTATCATGTTGTATATGATACAGTGATGTAACCATGCTTCACATAATTTCTGTTGTTCATTACGTTAATGGTGTGAGTTTTATTTCTTGTTTGATCCAAATTACTTTTGTCATTGTGTTGGACTTCTTGTACAGGTAACAATGTACATGTTGTCCAGACAAAGGAAAGCAACATATTGTTTGTGAAGAAAAAGAGTGTGCCTCAAAGTCTCAAGAATATAAAATGCAAGGTATTATTGAGTCAGTAATTATTAAACAAGGGCAGCTTAGTTGTACAGTGGGTAGAGTGCTGGGCCTCCTGAGTTCAAATCCAGTGTCAGACACTTACTAGCTCTGTGACCCTAGGCAAGCCACTTCACCCTCTTTGCCTCAGTTTCCTCATCTGTAAAATGAGCTGGAGAAGGAAATGGCAAACCATTGAAGTATCTTTGCCAAGAAAACCCCAAATGGAGTCACAAGGAATTGAATAGAACTGAACAACAATAACAACAATTATTAAAGCAAGCTGCCCAAAAGGACCATACCATATAGACTGCCTTTGTTGATTTTTTAAGGCCTGTAAACCAGTTCTGTATCCATGGCTTATTATCCATCCACTATAAATATGTGAAATAGACCCAAGTACAGTGAGAGTTAGAGCTGAAATACTGAACAACTATTCTCTATTTAAAACCCTGCCACACTAAGAATTGGAAATCAAAGAATTGGAAGTCAATTGGGGAATGACTGAACAAATTGAGGTATTTTGATAGTAGTATTGTTCTGTAAGAAATGACAAACAGAATGATTTCAGAAAAACTTGGAAATGCTTACATGAACTGATGCATAGTGAAGTGAATAGAACCAGAATGCTATACATAATAACAGCAATATTGTGTGATGAAAAACTGTGAATGACTTAGCTATTCTCAAAAATACAATGATCCAAGACAGTCCCAAAGGACTAATGATGAAGCATACTATCCTCCTCCAGAAAAAGAGCTGATATTGTTTCATTACAGACTGAAACATACTATTTTTCACTTTCTTTCATTTTTTTCTTTTACTTGAATCTTCTTGTACAAAATGACTAATATGGAACTCTTTTATGTAATTTCACATCTATAATCTATATCTGATTGCTTACCATCTCTGGAAGGGGAGGGAGGAAGGAAGGGATAGAATTTGGGACTCGGAACTAAATAAAAATGTTAAAAAATTAAAAAAATAAAGCTAAAGGAATTTGGGAAACAATAAAAACACTGCCACCTACACGATAATGTTAAGACTACTTCATATTTAATGTGTCATTTTTCAGGGAGACAGATTAAAGTCATTATAGATCTGCCAAATTAAAGGGTTGAACCTCTACCCTAGCCACTTGATGTATATGGAGGTATTGAGCTGTATAGTCCACCAAATAACTAATTCATCACTTCCTACATCTCATGGAATCTTTTTCCAATGAGATCAAAATGTCATTTGGACTTGGCAGATGTCCAATTCTTTACATATACTGTTGAAAGATTGAGACTGAAGTCTTTGTGCTTGAATTCAGAGGTTACAGTGAACCCCTGGAAAAAGACAATATCTACACATAGGTTTGTCTCCCTCAGGCAAGATGCATTGGTCATATGGAGGAGATGGAATACCGTAAGGGACTGATTGACATTCTTAGGTCAAAGTCGAAAGGAAGGACATATTTAAAATAATTAATACCTACACCGTATTAGCCTTAATGCATGCTTTTGGAATTGTAAATAAAAGGGAACACATTTGGGAAGCATCTTAATGAAAACCCATACAATATTAATAAAACAGAGGGTCCATTACCCCAAGACAATCATTAAAAGATTTAACAGCAAAAATGAAGGAGGGGATTGATAGACATTCTTGGAACATTGGCAAACAGGTCAAAACCTCGCCGAAATGCTTTTGGAATAAGGAGAGAACCATGCTAAAACCTGGTAACAAGTTCGTCACATTAGATTTGTTGATATGGCCTTACTTTTGGAGGGAGCCTGTAAACAACCAATGTCCATGAATGACATTGGCATGAACTCAGCCAACAATAGGTTGACAAAGAAGCATTTCCTCATAACTACAACCCTATGAGGAGTAGGAGCTATTATTACACCTCTATTACAGATGAAGAAACTGAAGAAAAGAGGTTAAGTGACTTGTCCAGGATCACACAGCTAGGCCATGTCTGGGATGAGACTTGAACCTAGGCCTTCCTGACTCCCCAAGTCCAGCCTCTATCCCCTATGCTATACCACCTCTCTCCCAGCTGTTGGTAGGTAAAGAGACAGCCTTCCTCCTGCTCCCACCAGCCTCTCTCACAGGGCTGCAGCTTAGGTCTCATTTGTGGGGTGAGAGGGTTTGATGATGAGTGTTGGGGCTGGGCACAGGAAGAGCCAGAGGCTGTGTTCTCTGTCCAAGGTCCTGAAGCTAACCGAGAAGTTCTGCCAAGATCGAGCCATTCCCTTTCCTCGGGTAGAGCTGAAACGTGAGGACCTGTCAGAGCCCCAGGAGTGTTATGTGTTTGACGATGCAGAGGACCCCCGTGTGCCCATTGTTTTACACTTCCCCCTTGTGAATCGCACCTTCCAAAAATACAAGGCACCAGGTAAGATGGGTGAGGACCTGGACCTCGTGCAGCTGGGCATGGTTTAAATGACCTGCTGCTACTGCTATTCTCAAGTGGGGTCAGAAAGCAGGTGATGGTGATAATGATAACAATTGTCGTAGGAGGGAGAGGAGCAGCTAGGTGGTGTGTGGATAGAGTCCTGGACTTGGAGTCAGGAAGACCTGAGTTCAAATCTGGCTTCAGATACTAGCTGTGTGACCCTGGGCAATTCATTTAACCTTCTTTGCCTCAGTTTCCTTGTCTGTCAAATGAGCTGGAAAAGAAAATGGCAAACCACTCCAGTGTCTTTGCCAAGAAAACCCCGAATGGGGTCACAAAGAGTCAGAAACTACTAAACAAACAAGTAGTGGTAGTAGTGGTGGTGGTGGTGGTGGTGGTGGCAGTGATTAGTATTTATATTGTGCATTAAGATTTGTAAATGCTTTACATACATTTCTTTTCATCCTCACAACAACCCTGGGAGGTAGGTGCTATTTCCCCTACCATTTTTCAGAAGAAACACCTGAGGCTTGGTAAGACTTGCTTGGTAAGTGTGTGAGGTGGGATTCAAACTTAGGTCTTGCTGACTCCAAGCCTGGCACTTGACTTACATGGTTCCCCCAGGAGAAGCACTGAGGTAGTCCGTACCAGAAACCTCTGATGAGTCCAGCATGGTTGCTGCTCCCCTCTCACCACTGGTCTCAAGGACTTCATTGAGTTCACGTTGGGTAGAGGTGCCCACCAGCTCCTCCAGATGTAGAAATCAGAATAGAAAAGCTTGGGTTGGGGACCCCTTCCCAGATTCTCCAAGTGGGAGAGGTGTGGTCTGTACATTAGGCAGCTGAATTTTATAGAAAGTAGAGACCCCTGACTTTGCCCTGTCCCTTCCCTGCATGCTTCCTTTGACTGTAGGCGTGGAGCGAGAGACACCAGAGGAGAAGGACTTTGCCAACTTTGACATAAAGGACCAGAACTCTCCCTATGGAATGATGAACTTCACCTACGAACCAAATGACTTTGAACGACTAGTGGCACTGAACAGATACAACATCCTCAACAATGCCGAGGTTGTGCGATCTGCTCTACGCAAGGCCCTGCAGCGGAGGCAGGCTGGGAGATGAGGGTCCTTTGGGGCTCTGGGCAGCTACTGGGGTGAGTCACTGGCCCTGAGGGTCCTAAGCAGGCATGCTGAGGATGGGAAGGGGGAGAGAGGAGGAGACAGAGCAGGGAGATAATCTCTTTCCTCCTCCTCCAGGACCAGCCACAGCAGCTCCGCAGCCCAAGATGCTTTCAGCTGCTTTAGCCTGGGAGCCTGGTTGGAGTAGAATCCTCTTCTTGAATACCTCTCCCTCCATGAGGCCTGGACTCCTATTTTATCTCTCCAGGGACTGGTGGAGACTTTCAAACTGCTTTGGAAATAGAAGATGGTTGTGTACATATGACGTGAAAAGAAGGTTGTGTGTATGTGCGTGTACATGCTTGCATCATGTGCATGTCCAGAGTTGTCAGGCTGAGGGAGAAGGGTTCGGAAAGTTCTTTTTTTTTTTTTTTTTTCCTGCTAAGTGGGCCCCCATGCAAATTTTACACAAAAGATCCCCGGACAGTCAAAGCCTACACTGTGAAGAAGTAAGAACCCTAAAGTCTCCTTGTGGACCTAGCCCAGCAAAACTTGAGATAGGTTGTAGTGGAAGGCACATAGGTTGTGGAGTCAGAAGGCCTGGGTTCAAATCCTACGTGTGATGCTTACTACCTGAATGACCTTAGATAATTCACTTGGCTTGCCTGTACCTTGATTTCCTCATTGCAATAATGAGGGAGGTTACCTTTGAAGACTCTTCCAGCTTTAGATCTGTGATGTTAGGTAAGAACAAGAGCTCAGGGAGCAACTAGGTGGTGCAGTGGAGAGCACTGACCCTGGAGTCAGGAGGACCTGAGTTCAAATCCGGCCTCAGACACATAACACTTACTAGCTCTGAGACTCAGGGCAAGTTACTTAACCCCAATTGCCTCACAAAAAGAAAAAGAAAAAGAAAAAAAGAAAAAACAAGAACCAGAGCTCAGGCCCTTGGGAGATTGACTAAGATCAAAGACCAAAGACACTTGGACACCAGCTCTTCTATACTGAATAACCCAGGGTGCCAGTTCTGAGTGACCTATAATGATGGGCATTGAAATGCTGGGGAGTGGAGGGCGGGAGGGTCAGAGTCTCTGAATCTACCATCCCATTTAGTTCCATTCCCTTTGCTTCTCTAAGCTCCTCTACTCTAAGATTCCTGGGAGCCCCTTGCAGAATCCAAGCCAGCAGGGTTCTAGAACTTGCCTTAATTGGCTCTTTGAACTTGGGCAGCGTTCCTGAGTCAGTTGTACAGTCATCTCCTTATGCAAATATGGGATTCTTTGTAATAGTAGGAGAGAGAGAAAGAGAGAGAGAGAGAGA